CTATGAGCGAATACTACAATAGGCACAATAGGCTTGCCTCGGCTTACTTGTTAAGTAACTTGAGTCCATTTTCAGACCGTCTATTAAAAGAAATAAGAAAGCGATCACCTAGCAACACGAGAAACGGCTTACTATATCTCATTTAACGCTAAAACTCGGATATATAAACAACTAACAGCGCGTGAAACGCTGAGACTTAACTAGGTTTTCATTTCCTCGAGATAGAAAGGAGAAAATGGTTTTGTAATAGTCAGACAAACTTGAAATAAAGAGTTTTCAGCTCCACTTTGTGTATATGTGCGTGTGTTTTGATAACTTAACATATCCGAGTTTTAGCGTTAAATAAGAAGAGGTAAACTAAATTGAAATAAAGACTTTTCAACTCCACTTTCTGTATGTGTTTCGTTTATGTATCCGAATTTTAGCACTAAATAAGATATAGTAAGCCGTTTCTCGTGTTGCTAGGTGATCGCTTTCTTATTTCTTTTAATAGACGGTCTGAAAATCGGGCTCAAGTTACTTAACGAGCAAGCCGAGGGAAGCCTATTGTGCCTATTGGAGTATTCGCTCTTAGGAAATCCAAATTAGTATGCGGGAAATCCAAGGGAAATCCAAAATCCGGTTAAGTTTTAACATAGTATACTACTTGAGGAGAAGCAGACAACCAAAAGCGCCAATGCGCCATACTAGGGATGTCCTTACTAATTAAAATATAAGAAGAACATATACAAATAGAAATATAAATGTTCTAGTTATCCTTAATAAAGCTTAAAACATTTCTTTTAAAAGTTGCAATGCTGTTTGATTCTCTAATATGATTGGGTAAACCATTCCATTCATCTACAACACGGTTAAAATAAACTATATTTAAAACCATCAGTTCTACTAAAATTTGGAACAAGGTCCTGTGTGTCATTTTTCCTCAAGTTATAACCTATATTTCTGTCCTTACAAAATATGAGCTTATTTGAAATGTCAATATCATAATGTCCATTAATTACATTTAAAAAAATGTAACATCTCTAGTGAACCTTTTATTAGATAATGACAACAATTTTAGCTTAGTTAGTCTAGTATCATAATCATCATCACACCTAGTGATCCATCTGGTAGCTCTTAGCTGAACAGCCTCCAATTTATCAATGTTACGTTTAGTATGTGTTGGTTCCATGAAAGATTACTAGCAGTAATTAATCCTAATTCTTTATACACATCAACACTTTCCAAAGGTTGACCTTCAATATTATACTCCCCAACTAGAGGGTGACTTTTTCCTGTTTTTTCGCATGATCTTACATTTAATTTCTTGATATTAATTCTCATCTTATTCATCTTACACCAGTCTGAAATTTTATCTATGTCACTTTGAAAAGTAGACAGATCTTCTTGAGTACTAATAACCCTATACATTTTACTGTCATCAGCATACAGAGCAATTGAACTGTTCTTACTAATTACCCCCGGTAAATCATCTTCTTGTATCAATCACTAACTTTTAAAGATCTTCTGTGCCGTGACATGTACGCTAAAAAATAGATCTTCTTCACGGCTTTTGTTATTTTACTTGAGTCAGAAAAAGTTTTCCGCGAGTTCTTTCATATAACCTGTTTTTGTTGATGGCATACACGTAAAAACTTAACCGAATGCAATTCCCCAATTCTTCACCCTGGAACTCCCGCCTCAGGCTGTAAAAGACGTAGAAACATGCTTCTACGCGTAACGCGCGTGTGAATTACTTATTGTCGTTATTCCATATTTCCGAACGTTTTGCTGGTGTAGACCTTACGTTTGTAGTAACTTTAATTGGTCATGCCAATTGCCATGTTAATATAAGTTGTCTACTGTTCAAAAGCATAAAAACGCTACGGTTGGATCTTATTTAGTATGCATAAACAATTACGAGAAGTGACGCGGAAGAAGCTGAGGTGCGTGGTTTGTTGAACGAGTCTCTCCCTGACCAACATACAGTAGGCTGGTGAACAATTGCAATAATACAATTTTACACCACTCGCGTCATGTGGTCTATTTTACATTGCTCACCCCTTCTTTTCCATCCTTACAACAATCCATATATAGAACCACGAACGTGGATGAGTGAAATATATGACGACATTAGCAGAGATGCCGATAAAAATATAAAACATGAGAACATTCCAAAAATTAAACACATAGTCAATTACAAATGCATATTGAGTACCCGCCCCCCCACCTACAGAAGTCCGCCCTTCAGTCCCTCAGATGCTAACCCATAACCCACATACATAACCCACATTAGTCAATTCTAAACTTAAATTGAGAAGACGTATCTGAATGGCAATTTTAATCCTTTATCGCCTTCATCCAATCTGCTGACTGCTTAGCTTTCCCATGTAGTGAAATGATAAAATTGAAATGGAACAGATCAATCAATTAAAGTTTTTTCACGATATTATTACTACTTCCGCTTGCAAAAACATAATATTATGCACTGAGCTTAGATAATAAGGAGTTTCCTAGTTAAGTCAACAAGAGAAAATTATCCGTTCTTAATATCCTACACATTTAACTAGCTTTCGCGCAATCTATATCCCCCTTCTCCCTTCCCCATGAAACGCCTGTCTCACGGGCTGCTTAAGATTCTAAGATTCTGGGAGTGGAGACCCCAGGCGTTATTTGACCCCTGAAACTCTCTCCTTCGCAAAGGCTCGCGCAGGGCATCCCAACAAAAATAGTAAGACTAACCGCTCGCTAGACTGCAAAACAGTCCGTATGTACGCGTGCGCTAACCTGAGGTCAGGCTCAATTTTCGTTTCGCTTTGTAATAACATTCCGGCGGGCAAGGCGAAACGTAATGTATGAGAACCGCTAAAACTGGGCCTGATTTCAGGTTAGCGTGAGCAGTCAAAGAAGGCGTGTGAGGCTCGCGCGCTTCGCGCGCGTTAGACTCTTACGCCACGCTTTACCGATTCCTTTACTGATTTTGGAGAAAAAAACCGACTGTTTTGCAGTCTAACCGCGCTATTTCTTTTTCTTTCTCCCCAGCCTCCCTCCCCTATGACACAAAGAGGCCTCTGTGGAGGAGAGAGCTCCTGGAAGTTGGATGAAACCATTTATTATAATTATTGTAAACACTACTAACTTCTTTTTATGATCTGGGCCACAAGAACTGGTAATGAAAAGTTTACATGATTATATGTTTGAATGCACTTCTCCCCTTCCCCTCTTGTATCACAGTGGGGTATGATTTGCTTGAATAGTGCTTGTTAACTTCCCATCCTCGGTCACCATGGTATACGAGGAAAAAAATGAGGCTGAAAATGAATTGTAGGCTCAATCCTTGTGTTTAACATAAAATTGAACAAAATTTAGCATCCTTTTAAACAATATTTACAATATTATTCCAAAAATTATCATCTCTGTAAGCAGGCAAACTCCAGAACTTCTGAAATAAATTAAAACTTTTTTTTCCATTTGTTGTGGTTTATTCATAGTTGTAGTTGATACTGAACAGTGTCTTTAATGGGAGGCCCTATATCTTGACGGTCACTGCTTTGGCTCATTAATGATAGGAGCTCATTCATGAGGACCTTGCAGCACTGTTCAACTGTGTCCTGTATAACTGGGAACTCTGATGGTTCAAAACTGCTCAGGACATATGCTGTCACATGATGTCTGTTATTAGGTCTTCCTATTCCTACTCGCAGCCTTTTTGGGGTCTGAAAATAAACAAGCAAATTATAAGTAATAAGTAAATAAAAAAAATCATTTATCACCATCATGTATGTGTCTTAAATCAACATAAAAATAATAGTTATACTAGCAGTAACCAAAAGGTTAGGAAGTGCGGGCAAACATGTACGTTTACCTTAAAGGTGCGGTTGATGTTGAGAACCGCTTTCACAATTTTGTACATGAATCTGACAAAGCCCTTTAAGTTCCGGTGTCAACAAAAGGAATCACAGCAGATCATGAACATGGACAGTGAATTGAACAACACATTAAACAAGACTAATATTGACGTCAACGATTTAATTTTACAGTGGCTTAGATACAATTATCCTGCCAACGATGAAAAGCGAGGAGAGACAGCTGTATTCGCAGGTATAATGAAAACAGTAACGCGTGAATGACTACTTGAATTCTTAGTATCTCAACGAAGACTCGTCCTGCACTAAGCTGTGATCAAGCTCTAATTTATTTCCCTTGGTACAGGTTTCCGGCCGGCAAGATGAATAGAGGAGTCTTGCATTTAGTACATAACGGGTATACCTGAATTTAATACGTGCATTTTTGTGGAATCAAATTAATATTATTGCGTCACTTGCTTTTGAATTCACGTGATTACTGTGACATTAACTGGACCTTAGATTCTGCACCAGGGCCTTTCACGGCCACATACCACACATATTAGTATACAGAACATGGGCATCCCAAGAATGTGGACAGATTTTAGAAAAACCACACTAAAAGTTAATTAAGTGCTGCTGACCAAGATTAGTCTGTGGGCTCCGCTTGACGCCCACCATAACAATAACATTATTATCAATATATCTTACATCACATCCCAGTGACGCAATTGCTGATCTAACACCATTGTGTCCTCTGAAAAAAAGAAAACTTTATGGTAAAAAATTTGAACTATTGGACATTACATGTAAGGTACAGGACAGTTTCTATTTCACATGGCAGGTGTAAAAATAAATAATATGAAAAAATTGGTGACATCCACATTGAGTAAATATGAATGTGAAGGGTTGCAAGAGAGCACAACTTACCATCCCCCGTTACATGTACATTGAACTGTGTTGTACAGTTGTGTCAATAGTTGTTTTATTCTGGAACCAGATATAAACCCCTCTGCTCATAATAATAGTTCGTTTGACCTATGCAAACAATCATTTTGCTGAAATAGCTACATTTGAATAAGTTTCTGCCTATAGATTCAAAAGTTCGAATGATTTTGATGAATCATCTCACCATCATGGAACTCTGTCTAGTAGTAAAGTGTAGTTAGGTTAATAAAATCACGAGACCTCATTCAGCATACAGAACAGTACATGGCTATTAAAGACAGTCAGCGAAAATCTTAATATTTTCATGTCCAAGATAAATTTGCACACTAGTTTTTAAGGTACATGTAATTTTATTTTAAGGTGAAATTCTTTTTTTTTTTTATGAATTTAGCACACACAGCTTGCATATGACAGTACTATGTGCATTTAAGTGGTTCTGGTAGTCAACTACAATCTTATGAATAACTTATACATTGCAACCAAGGGGAAATGCCTGTCCATGTCATCCAAGTCTCTGTATTAAACAGCAGGCTCTCAGAAAAAAATAAAAACATCAGGGGCACAGGGTGCAAAGAAAGTCAGTTTTACAGCCTGCCATTCAGGCAAGCTGTAGCTAGCATGTACAAGCCCACAAGTCAGTTCAACTAGCACCAAAACCCTTTTTCATTAGAAGGATTGTTATCCTTCTGTAATTTGAATTTCCCATAAAACAGCACTTGCCCATCACACAAGAAGAACAAAAACCACTAGCCCACTACCAAAATCCACTTGCCACGGGCTATCGGACATGACTTTCTTAGCAAGCTGGGGGCATATACTTTATTGATCAGGGGACTGAAAGAGACATTTTTTTTAACAGAAAACGCTACATGTAATTTCTTAGCACAGGCTGTAACAAGTCCATCCTAAAGAAACTTCACTATCAGCCACCCCAGCCTAGTCTAGAATAAAGCTTCCTTTCAAGAATGGTTCTTGAAGTACAACAATGGAATCTGTAACTTACTTTGTACCGAGGCTTTTAGTTTTTGACTCAACCAAGTGGACTGAACATTAGACAAAACATGACGGAACCCTTGAAAGGACATTATTTTGCTGTTTCTGTTGGGTTTTCGATGGTAAGATATTCAATCATAGACAGCGCGCAGATAAGCAGTGTCTGTAAAGCAGGGTTGACACTTGGGACAAAAAGCTGTTCATTACAGCATATACAGGTGTCTATAATGCAGGCTGGGTTCCAATGTACTTAAAAATGAATAGTCTGCAGGCTGTAATATACTACATGTAATGTACTTACCCTGCACTACCTCCATGTTTTAAACTGAATCTCCCAACAGGCTTATCAAGGTCATCATGCACAAGAATGACATTGCAGGGATTCACATTAAACATTGCAGCTGGAAAAAATAATATATATACACACTGTTATAATTATTACAGACAAAACACCAAATCGACTGGTCTCCGCAACATGTTTAACGTATTCTACAGATTACTATCAATGACTCAGTTTAGAAAGCTGGTTTACTACCTTAGAACAAATGCCACTGAATTGTAGTCAATTGTTACCAGCACTGTAGAAACAACTTATTGACAGAACCAAGCAAAACCAACTACAAGAGAACAACATGACAACTGACAATTTGAATAACAATAAACGACTGTGTAACTGTGACAATCGGCTAACAAAACGAACCAATAAGATAACCAGTCTTCATAGCCAAATTAATGCTCTTCATGGCTTAATTGACAAACGACCAATAACATCGTGACTTAATTGACCAATCAGGTCAATAACCAGAGTTTAATACCATCAACGGACGTGAGACAATTCACTATGACTCTGAAGATGACTACAGCACTGGTTGTCAAAACGTTAGTCACTGTCAACAGGCAACAACACTCCTATTCAGGACTACCTTCACCCGGACAATCATGTTTCACCTACAAAATGACTGCTGGGTACAAATCTTTCACAGTATTATTATTATAATATCATTATTATTGGTAAGTACACACCGGTCCTTGAAATGCTTTTGCCATTTACATTCATTGCCAGAGTAGGTTTCAACATTATTAACTGATGATTATTCACTTTTGTTACAGCCACATGACCCAGTGATCTTCTGTTAAATTGCCAAGATGCGCCCAGCTGTTGGCTTAGACAGTCAACTACAAGCATCCCTACACTGTGCCTTGTATTAGGCAGGGTGTAGTTACCTAAACCAACAACCTGCAGAAAAAAACAGAGAAAAACTCGGTGACACAATATTTCATTAGGTTTATGGTCAAGTTGCCCAAAAGTCATCTCGCCTGAAGTTATGTCATCTGAAATCAGAGTTATGTCACCCAAAATTTTTAGTCCAGTCACCTGAAATGCTGAATATGTGGCTCGAAATTTCCTCTTACTGAAAAACATCCTTGCATCCTTATTACACTTATTGCACTTGTTCTGTACCATCGAAGATTAAAGAATGTGATACCGTACTCACTGATCTGACCCTTGTTTCATTGCTCATCAATGGTTCAAGTGTGAGATATATTACACATTTATACTGCTTGTTCCGTCTCATCATCCCTTAATGAATAACGTATGTTACACATTCATTCCCCTTGTTTTGTCTCCTTGTGGTTTAAAGAACAAGATACTGACACTCTTTATTCAACAAAAAATAACTTTGTTTCTCTGTGCACTATCACCCGAAAAAATTCAGGCGACATGTCCAATCAGCATTTTGGGCAACTTAACCCTGGTATCAGGTGACATAGCTCCACGCCACTTGACCACTTACAGTGTACCTTTCATTAATGCTGAGAAATCCAACAGACCTTTATCAAGAAGATTGCTAATAAAATTAATAGCAACAAACTACCATAAAAACTGGCAGAAGTTTAAGGATGGGTAACAATTAGAGGTATACTTGTAATGATAATTATTTGCTAAGGTAAGCAGCCTTTAAAGTATGCACTAGGAATATTTCTGGATTTTATTTTCAAGACAGCCATTGCATTTAAGTTGTTGTTTTGTGACTTGCTCATGAATTTATTACATCCTGATCTTTGATGTGAATTATCATGACAGTCAGTGAACAGCAGTGGCAGATCTACAGTTTGTATGGAGTATCCTGGGCAAGCTGGGCCCCTACGTTATTATTTACAGCACGTTACAAATCGATCGAAATCGATCATCGAAAACATAATTGATTAATCGATAGTACTCGTACTCGATAATACTCTACATTTGTTGATTGATTGGTTATAATAATCGATAAAAATCGATAATCATAAATTTGCCTACAGTCACTCTTTTTTTTTTCCATTCGCAGCTGAACTAGCTAGCGGTACGTATGTTGACTTATTGAGTGGTTATGTTTTTTATGTTTTATATATTTTTCAATCAAAATCGATAAAATCAATCGTTTAAATACAGAAATCGATAACATTGATAATGACAAAACTCGACCGATCGATTTCCATCGATTTTCGATATCAATCGATAAATCATAATCGATTTCGATCGATTACTATCGATTTTAATCGAGCATCAAAAATATTGATTTGTAACGTCCTGTTATTTAATAGATTGATCGAACATGTTGAAGGCTTTCAGAGTTTTACCTCATTTTTAAATAATTATTTTTAATTATAAATCTTTTTTTTTTTTTTAAATTCCAATCTGTAATACTCATCTGTCTTAGAAACCAAAAGCTTAATAATTGAGCTAAAATAACTTGATGATCAGCTGAAACAGCGACATAAGAGTACAAACACATTTACCATTGCCCGTAATTTCTTTGCGTCGGTGGCTTGAGCTTGACTTAAGTTCCTTTGGCAGATAAATTTGAACGGCTTTGATGTATTTAGTATCCCTGAATAAATGGGAAACACTCGTTCAAGCACAGTTCTGGACCTAACTGCCATAGTACAGTATATTAGTACAATTTTCAGCGAAATGTCTGGACGCCCGCGTTTAATTCAGCGGTAAAGTAAATTTCAGGACCAGTATACACGACGTGTAAACTGCTCTTCACAAGATGGCGGTGATTTTTGCCTGTCGAGTGTCACGTTGCTTTTATCGACACTTTTCCCGTCATCTTTTAGTAAACAGCATTTTTCGTTCTACAAGTTATTTACCACAAACTAGAATAATCTTATATTGTAAAAGATCTCTTTGCGGTGACGCACGGAATAATGCCTCTAAACTGGGCTTGATTGAACAGAGTTCCAAGTTTCAACTTGTTTTTACGTGCAAAGTATGCGACACACGATCAAGGAAGGTTATCAGTAAACAAGCTTATACCAAAGGAGTGGTTATCGTCAAATGCCCTGGCTGTAACAATAATCACTTGATAGCTGATAACCTAGGATGGTTTTTCGATGACAAAAGGTAAGAGTAATTTGCAAAACTTGTTCTTTTTTTTATAACTATCAGCAGAACTGGTGCTTTCATGGCATCGTTTTTGCTACAACTTTTAACAATTTTCGGTTGGTATGTATAGACAATTATAGCAATGGGCCAAACAAAACTTTCCACTGCAAGACCAAGCATCACTTATGTGGCACATTCTGAATCGAAGCCAGAATACGCGTACTGTATACATGGACTGTATTACAAAAAATAATTAACAATTGTTCTTTGAAATCGAGGTGAATAGTGACTAAATATTTACCGAACCGCGAAAGCGGCGAGGTAAACATTCCTTACGCCACTATTCTCCGAGATTGAAAAGAATAATTGTTTTCTAAAGTAAATACACACGAAGTGATCTCAACAAACCATTAAGTACGATTTGATTGACAGATCAAATCACCCGAAAGTTTAAAAATAGATCTTTGTAGAATTTTTAAACATGGCAATTCACAAGTTTATCGTTTTGCAAACAACAGCGTAATGGCTTTAATGGAACCGTTAAAAGTTTGAATTGTTTCCTTACCTGAGAAGAAAAGAAGAAATTTGTTGTTTTCTGTTGACTTGTCAAGTTTATAGCCAGAAAGGTTTGTTGTGTCGTTCTTCGCATGAAGTGTTGACAAAAAATTATGACGGCTCGGTTCCTCGAGGTAATACGTCGTCTTCATGTTGCATTCTTTGTCCTATTTACTTGAAACGTGGAATTTCTGCAAACATTTGCTTTCAAATTTGTTTGTCATAACTAAACTTCGATTTTTGGGCCAAATGTTTCCTGTTAGGAAACGCTGAGTTCACGAAACGGCCTCTTCTACGTGAATAAACGGGAGCTGTCAACAATCCATCGACCACAAAACTCAGTTACAGTAAATGGAAAAACGCCCTTTTGAATCCTTCGAAGACTTTTCTTGCCTAAAAAAGGTCAACCTTAAGATTTTGTCGACCACCGAAACGTCGGCTTTTAACGTTAATATTCGCTTGCTTATGTTTTAAAAGATCGTTCTCTCACTTGCTAGGAGGTGAATATTGTTGAATAGTCCGAGATAGCGAACCAATCAGATTGCTTAAATCACCAAGATTACTGAGTGTGTATATACTAATAAGCTTTATACTACTACGTGAGAAATTTCTGCAATTTGATTGGCTTAGAGCAGTGGTATTTCAGCTTAATTTGAAATACCTACATGTGAAAATTACAAACCTTTAGTATGAAGAAATAATAGCATGGTTTGTATGTGAAATTTGGTATGAATACCACTAGTGATATTTCAAAATTGTCTCAAATTTCATTCGCCTTATGGCTCGGGAAATTACGAATAACATTTTTGAAATATCACTCGTGGTATGTACGCTAAACATCACATCATGCTATTACCTATACTAATTGGTTGTGTTGAAGAATTTTTTTGTACACTTTGTAATATGATGTCCCAACTTATCAGAAGAATCTCCACTCTGTCAAATGTACAGTACATGTACAGTATACATCAACACAAAAGATCTCCTCTGAAAATTAAATTTGGTGCTGCTGCATGTGATCAGTCATGTTGTATGGATGGAACATCATCCTGATACTGAGTCATACTGCACATGATATATTGGCATCAAAGTTACTTCATGGATCTTCTGTTAGTCAGGTGTAGTAATTATTCACAGGGTTTAAGCAATCTGTTATGCTTCATGTAGTGCTCAAATTTATCAATGAAGTACATTTTGATGTCTCAGAAAACACAAAGATAGGGGTTATCCTCTCTTATAACCCTACAAAGTCATGTTGTTGTAAAAAGTTGTGGAATTTTACAATCAGTTATTGATTTTGCTAAATAATGCATTCATGTACATGGATTATTTTTGTGAATAGCATTTTTGGTATTTAAAAATATATCTTCTGGAAAATATACATGTAGCAGTTTTGGAGCCGTTAAATAAGTTAATTTGGTCACACTTCACTATTTTTACCGGACTTTAACGCTTTCGCTTGGAGGCTGCCAAAAGGAACCCAAGCCAATTCTCAGGTATGCTTTAGATGAATGTCTAAATGTGTGAATAAACGAGGACCGGGAAAATTTGGAGCCATACCACATGAAAAACAATGCCGCAGAAAACAACCATTAAATTAAAGTTTTTGTCACCGTAAATACCTGTTCTTCGTTTCTGAATTATGTTAGCTCAACGAGTCTTGATGTTGCTTTGAAAGTATCTTCTAGTGAAAGAAGAAGCATTGTTCTATTGATGGAAAGTATCCAAATTTCTCCTTGCGGCTTTATTTGCGAACGCGAGGAGAGTTGATGTTAGCAAATTTCGGGTTGAAAATACGGCCATTTTGAGACTCCGAACACGAAAACTGATATTCTTACTTTTCTCGAAAATAAAAGGCTTTTTTGTGAGAGCAACTTCCATCAGATTACTTATCTACCTAAAAGCTATTTATGGACAAAAAATGAAGGCAATGGATTTTTCAACTCTTGCCACTCAATGGTAGATATTACCAGACCGTCGCTCTTAAATCCTTATCAGGCATTTGTTGGAAAAAAAAAAACAGGAAAAGATTTTATGATATTCACCTTTATAGGGCTGGTGAAAAGCACACTCTGAATGTAATTATATTGTTTAACAAGTTATTGATTCCTTTTTTGTAAGCTAACAAACTTGAACTGCATGTGAAAAATCACTATTTTTTTTCTGTGTACATGACTTTTGGTGTGTGTGCAGATTAAAACATTTCTGATAAATTAAGACACAAAATCACAAAACTATTAAACCTGCCAGACTCGATACCAATAACACTAAAATGCTTTAAAATTTGCAGTGAACAGATCACATGGTAAATAAAAGTATCTTTTTAAAAGCAGGTTAGTTTTGTAAATATTCACATTTCTAGCATTTTAGTACTGTTGCTTCATTCTGGTTTTGACTGTCCCAAGAAATCCAAATTTTGAGCAATCTCTCTCAGTTAGTTAAAATGTGTTTTGACTTTTTTACATGTAACCATACACTGTTGACCCTTTTTGCTGTATGTACATGTAAATCATTTGTACGCGCATTTATGATTCAATTGCCTATAAAGTTCCTATTTCACAAAATACATTTTCTATTTATTTTATAGGAATATTGAGGACGTACTTGCTGAAAAAGGAGAGACGGTGAAGAGGGTTTTAGATAGTGATTCCCAGGAGTATTTTATTGAAGTTGAAAAAAGGGATGAAGATGAACATGGACAAATCACCAACAACAATACAGAAAATAACAAAACCTAAATGTACATTCTGGAAGCTTAACACTTGTATGTTTTGTTTTCCCAATATAGGTCCCAGGGGAACTTGATCCATTGTCTTTTCAGAAATTTAATATGCGTAGATATGCTCTTGAATAAGACGAAATTTGAAAGAATCTGTTCCCTAGAGTATTAGCACGTGACCTGTATTGGGGAAACAAAACATTCAAGCTAAAGAGGTCTATTAATAACATAACTGATATTTTTCGGTCTTTTCATATTTTTGCTATTTTCACTTCGTATGGCCAAGAATCTTAAGAATTAGATACAGCGAAATACTTGTAACATAGCTAAAATGTGCACAAGCTTTTGTGCTTAACTTTTCCCAATGAGCTACATCCGAGGATGCAGACGTAGGGCCAAATAAAAATGTAGTTTCTCATTTACATACTCGCCAAAACAAGACCACGCGAAATTTTTTTTTGTTATTATTATTCAGACTATTGACGCTGGGCGAAATTTTCAGTTAAAACAAAAGCTCTGTTATTGACCTTATAACGAACAATTTTAATTTCGGCGACTCACGTTTTTTCTTTCAACGTGAGCCAAAACACGTCAAGGTTACACGCGTGTTTTAAACTGTAGTGCTATAACATTTCGTGCTTTTGCGATCACGATATCTCACAAGCTCAAGGGGGGATCAAACTACATGTTCGTGTAACATTTCTTTTGCCAAGAAAAAAAGAATAGAAAAGAAAAGAAAAAAGGGGGGGGGGAAGGCGATCTAAAAATGATACGGTATTTATGAGGTAATTGTATGAAACTAAAACATATACTTTGTAATGCGGAAGGCTAAATAAATTATAAATAATAACTGATTACATCATGGTATTAAAAGACCTTTTTACCTATGTAATGACGTATTCAGTTATCCTCGGTAGGAGAGATTCACCGAAACACTAAACGTTTTCCCTTCGATTGTATCGGTATATCAAATTTCGACAGGTTTCAGCCTTAATATTGACTAAGTATTTGAAAACCTTTTCATGCCATTTACTTGGGTGTATTAATTGAATTCTCAACTGCAATTAATTAAGTTTTACCCGAAGAATAAGAACATATTTACGTGCTCAGTCACAATGTTTAAGTATATTTATTTAAAATAGAAAATGACTACTTTGGAAATTTTTAGGGTAAAATCCCAGCAGTCCGTCAAAACCTGCTATATAATTCGCCGGGAAAGTTTGTTTTTACAAGCCTCGCTCGGCTTCTACGGGTTTTCGTTAGTCATCTCGATCAGCAAGATCTGTAAAATATACCTGTTATCCGTATTTTTCGGAGATTTTAAATATGGACAGGGAAGACAGAAGTCTCATCGACCAGTTTTTTCCTCAACTTGCTCAGGACATAATTCCCGTAGATATGTTGCCTTATTTGCCGTGTTTAACACAGACTGACAAGGAAGGTATCAAGAGCGAGGAAGTCAACAGAGGTCCTTACAGGGCTACCATATTGTTACTGGATCGAATTCAGAGACGAACCAATGGCTTTCAAGAGCTAGTTGACGCGCTGAGATGGACGGGCTGTGAACATTTAGCGGATCTTCTTGTTCCGGGAGGAGAAGGTAGGTGGAGGATGAGAAATATATATATATATATACATAGTACTAATATGAACAACTGAATGATGCTTATTTTTTAAAATATTATATGGTGATCATATAGTGATATCATACAGCGCTAAGTAATGCCAGCCTCCGGTTTTAATAGTGCAGTTATAGTAACATGAAAAATTCTCATGAATTCACTGAAAACATTCAGTCACTTCATTTTTATTAAGGTCAAAACGTATTTCTGTTATTGGCTATTGTTTTTGTTTTGTTTTTTTGCGCTTCTTGAGCGCTGTTGGTAGATACTTCAGAGAAAAAAAAAGTGAAATTACAGAATTTCAAGTTACTAAATGAATAAAACTATCCTGCAAGGCTAACGGAGACGACGTACGGTAACTACTTAAAATCGGCAATTCGATGCTATCACTTCAGGGTTTAATCTCTTCTGATGTTGCTTAATTTTGTCTCGCTTGATTTACCGCAAAACAAGCTAAGTTGAAACATTGAAGCCTCTTTACCTGTAAATCAAATACAGAGTCGTTAGGAGAGAAAAAGGCGGTATTATAGACACACTGTTAATATTTGTGACCGTTCTCATGCACTTATTTCCCTCTTTACAGTCTCTCCAGTCGACCTCTCCTTCAACTTCATGCTTTTCCCATGACCGGAAGTTGGATGTACTGCCCTTTTCCCTTTATACTCCGGGTCAGTTGTTTATTGTGAAATTGAAAAATGTTCGGTTCTTCTCTTTCCAGAAGGTCATCATATAGACGATCCGCCAGAAATAGACCAGAGACGAGGTCCTGCGGAAATACAACTTCAGCCTTTAGACCAAGTAAATAACTGACTGCATTTTAGAATACTTTCAGTTTGTCGTTGAATTTTCCTTTGCTCCGACAGGTTTTTTTCCGGGTTCTACGGTTTTCCCCGCTCCTCAAAAACCAACACTTTCAAATTCCAATTCGACCACTGGCAACAATCAGGCAGACGAAAAACCAGCACCACGTGGATGTACTACATTTTAATCGTTATTGATTAATTTACTTCTTTGACTTCTGAGCCTTTTTGTTTCGGTTTTCTGTAATCGACAATTACTAAGAAGACATGAACCTCTGCCTCCGTTTCAATAAATCCCCGGGTGAATAGATTTGAAACCGAAAAATAATCTCCCGCAGTCTTTTCGTACGGTGAAGATTTAACGCTACGCGTTATGGCTTTTTATGATAGGAAACTGGCATCTTGAAAATTCTACGCCTAACTTCTGAGGGATAACAACCCAACAGAGATATTGAACATCGACGAAAAACTTTACTAGAAAAAGTACCAGGAGAAAATAACTGGTTATTCCGCTGACGGTCGGATACTCCATGCTTAGGAGTTAGCTTAGATAAAAAAAAATGCTTAATTTCGTTTAGCCCTATAAAAATGATTATTAATACGTAATCATTTTTCTTTCGTTTGGAAGGTTGTTGCAGAGGACGTTGATTAAAAAAGAATAGAAAGCAAGCAATTAAGGAAGGTGAGTTGATCCATCGGACTTAAAGTTAAGATCATTTTCCTTTCGGAAGGCCCGCCTATTACAGCCATTATATACAGCACTTCTCTGAACGTTATTTCTTTGATTATGAACCACGCGTTCCCAATAAACGCTTGGTGTTTAAAGTAGAAGGCTGTAAGTTAACCTGCAAAACTGGCGGTTTGTTTGGTGTGCTTTTCCTTTGTGTCTCGCACAGTAAGAGGTACAGAGCGTCTCGGGAGTTTTATTATCAAACCATGCGCACGGATTATTTCTCCCTCGGTTCTCCCTGGATATTTCGAGAACGGACCTTTGGAGCCAGGGTTACGATAATTCTCTTCCACTTAGTTTAGAAAATATCCTCCAGGCAGGTGGTAGAAAGCGAAATTTTAAACACTTTTTTTTTATTTCAGGACATTGCAAAGGTCATGCGAACACGAAGCACCTCGTAGTTCAAGAACATAGATTAAAAAAAATTCTACACACTTTCGCAGCACCGGTACACTCATCCTAGTATACCTTTAGAAATTAGAGCTTGAGGCATCAAACAGCTACAGACACCACGATGGACTCCTTCGAGACCATTTTTGAAGAAAAGCAATAATCATGGCTCATCCAGTGTGAGGATACTTTCGCAATGTTAGCATATTACAGTATTCTGTTCGAATCTCACCTGGTACTCAGAACTTTTTCTGATTCTTATCTATGTGATTTTTGTCTGTGTTACTATTTACATTGTCAAGCAGTAACTTAACGTTAACACTGCCAGAAAAATCATAATCGCTGAATTATTTATTGAAATAATAATTTTTTAATGAGGTCATGCAGCGAAAAACTAGGCAAAAAGTAAAAAAACGGGACTGTCTTAATTTTCGAAGAATGCATATGACCCTTTTTCCTGATCAGAAATTTTCATTGGGTACTCTTTTTTTTTTGGTTATATCCCAGCGTGTGAGTTTTGCGTTGGGAACGAAGCTATACGAGATACTCTGCTGGCTTTCTGTTGGTATTTTATCAGACTATTTTATTTTTTAAGTCATCCTGCAACGCGCAGGTCTAATATAGTTAAAATGGTATGCCATGCACAGTTCCAGGCAGGAAGTGATTCCTAGAAATAAAAACGAGAACCTCAAAATGCATATTACATCTCACCTCGAAAGTCTTTATGCACTGTACATTCTGTACAATCTTTTACTATTATATGAAGACAAACTTGCACAAAAAGAGAATAAAATTATTCCCTATCCACACGTAAATTGGCTGGCCCGCCTAGATTAGCTCTAGCTAATTAATGGCCAGAGCACTTTTACGAAACTTAAATAAGGAAAATAAAGATTGTTGTTGTTGTTGTCACCTCGAAAGTCTTTATTCATCGTAAATTAGTGCACAATCTTTCAAAATTATATAAACAAACGTTTAAAATAATTATAAAATTATTCCCTACACGTAAATTGACTGGCCCGTCAAAATAAGCTCTTGCTACCTGGGGGCCAGTGCACTTTTGTGAAACTTAAATAAGACCCAAGGAAAATAAAGGCACTGAGGTATTCACGGTGGTGCCCCATTTAGCCTCCCGTGAGCAATGCTCCTGATTTGACGTACTGCCCACACCACTTAGCTAGAAATGGGTACGCTTTCTCGCAGACTACGTTGACCGTATCTTTGATAACGGCTAGCTGTACTACAAGCACAAACTGAAAATGGAGCTGGTCAGAGGACTGCAAAATTAATTATGTAGAGATGACACAGGATAACAGCCTCTGTTGGTAGTAACGCAATTACCGAGATCATTTCATTTATTCATTTCATTGATCAAAGGCAATATTTTATGTACAATTTCATTTTCTCACTTATTCCACGAATATCTAGGGGATACACAAAAAAGACAAAAAGGAAAAATTTTATGATTTATTTGAATCAAAACCTAAGGTTGTGAAAGTTTGTTGAGAGAGTTAAAATCGTCATAACAACTCAGAGTCACAATAAGCCTCATCATTATCATTCGATTCAAATAGTTCTTCCTTTTCATTGGCCGAAAATGTCCACCACGTGACCTGCAAATAACTGCGTACAAATAATGGTCTGCTCATGGACAATGTCGTCCAGCTGTGTTTCGGTTCAAGTGTTTGGCTGCAAATAATGTTTTGTTCATGCGTAAACGAAACCACGCTTTTATCCTTCTTGCGATCGCTCTTGCGCGAAAATGGCAGATCGCTTCGCTTCCCGAATATATTCATTAAAAAACAAACTTGGTGATCGAATGATAAAACAATTATTGAACTTGGTCATCGCAAAATATCGTGTTTTATCAGTGTCTCGCAGATCAGGCAAATGATTGATCTGCTCGCCACTGACAAATCACGAGATTTTGCTCAACCTCGTCCAATAATTGTTGATTATTCAATGGCTGAATCCACGGGCGCGCAAGTTGATCAAGCGAATCCTGCATGTGTTGTCTGTGTTCAAATTGGCTACCCGAGCCGACAAGATTAGCCTGGGACCAGACTCCGCAGTGGGGAATAAAAAGGGTAGAAGAGGAGTAAAACAGCAAAAGCTAAATCCTAGCCTGGTCCCAAGCTTAAGATAGGCTCATCTTGCTCACTCGACATTTCCCGCGCTGGTCCCGCAAAAAAAGGTCTTTTCGCCATAAAATAAATTCTTTTGACCAAGCAAGGTGGCTGGATATCGCCCCCGTTCTTTCTTTGCGTTGTTATTGACCTCGATTTCACCTCTTTTCAGAAAACGGGAAAATAATAGCCAGCCATCTTGATATCATCTTGTACCCAAGATTTTGTATGGTTTATTATGTGTATGCAGCCTCTACTCACCTGAGCTATAATACTGTCCATCAGTTCCTTTACAGGTCTCTTAAACATTGCCAATAACCTCATGCTATAGGTATATATCAGTATATATATCTGGGATTTGCTCGAAAAGACCGACAGGGCAATTTACAGAAAAATAAGTAGCCAGCCTACCATCCTTTATACAATCTTCTGCTCACATTGTGGGTGAAATCATGTTCTTCAATTGGTATAGGCCATTTTACAGTCGTGGACTTGATACAAACCTCCTTTGCTTTGTTATGGAAATTGTCCTTGAAAAATACTAGTTAGCATAAGAATAACTTGATTTACATAATAAAGCAGGAAGGTTGTATCAAAACAAGGTCACCGTTAGCCTCGCTTTCGTCCATAACTGTAAAATGGCCTATTGTGGAATTGCACACATTTTAGGCATCCTACTGATCAACAGTTACAACTTTTGTTCATTTAATTTCTAGCAACAACAATTTGCCGTCTTTCAATTCCTCTCTGAATAAAAGAATCCTCGAAACGTTTAACAACTTAAAGTAGCCGCCAATAACCCAGTATCAACACGGAAAGCCTGTTTTAAGTCAAGCTTTATATATTTTTATGTATTTTAAATATTCTCTAGCTTTTTAATTGTTTAGTCTAATTTCTTTTTTTTTTTTTCTTGTTAATACTGGTATATATTTTTACCTGTATGATAACAAAGATATTTCAGTTGTGGCACGTTTGGTCAATAACCATAAATATTGCTCAAAGGGTGTGAAATATAGATACGGTCGGTTCCGGTCGGTACATTATGGATAGTTAACTGTCTTGCTCAGAGCTATGTGTTCTGAACTGAAATTCGAAATTCTTCAATATTCAGGTTGCCAAATACAAATCACTTTCTGCCTTAGCTTCTTCCGTGTTTCATTATATTTTATTCAGTTGTAAACTGATAATACCATAGGTTTCTCGAGGCTTTCACGTGTTCAGGCTGCATGGATCAGTGCGTCTGGACTGTTTAGAAGATCTCCGCCGTTTAATGAGAGACAAAAAAATGCATTAATATATCGTCGACTTTTTCGGGAAAAAACAAGTCTTACATTACAGAAACCAATTTACCTCTCGACAATTTGTACCGTTTAAGAATCAATGAGTTTTGTTTTACACCTACCTTTTATACAAAAAATGTTTAGGGTGACAATTTAGAAAAGAACGAATAAAGATATTTCTGCTTGGTTGGTCACTATTGCTTTCGGTTTCAAGGGTAACTTTAATCAAGTTTAAAGTTTCGACTCCTCGACGGGGAACTTTCCCTTTTTAATTGAAAGCGAAACCTTTTATTGTGATTCATTAAATATTTATGACTTTCACTTCGATCGATACCGGAAGTGACAATATCATACCAGTAACTACTGCAATCAAACAAGAGCTTTTGCTCTAGTCGTCATTTTCAATCCATCTAAATTTTCTTCTTTTTTAATGGAAAATGAGAAAAATCTATACCATTTTGATCAACTGAGGTTGTTTCATTGTCAGGGTCTTTTTGTTTGCGTAAACACAGGCAATACGAATAATTATTGTGACAGATTTCCGAGAATTTTGATGTGCATTTCCGGGAAACTTCCCTGTTCATCACAGATGCTAAATTAGTAATCTTACTTGTATAAATCAATTATCTGAAACCCATATAAGTGAACAAACACTGCATTTCTATCACTTTCTTTGTGAACTAGCTTCTACACTGAACGTGTAGCTTGCTTGTTGGCTTTAAAGCAATCGAAATGAGGTCTTATGAAAAGCTGGAAAAGCAAATTCTGGATCAAAGGCTGAAAGATTTTCAGTACGAAGTGATACCTGATGAACTGTTGCCTTTTCTGCCTTGCCTAATACAAGAGGATAGAGAAGCAATTGAAGCAGTGCAGACGAACCGTGGGCCTATAAGGGCAACTGCAGTTCTTGTAGACCGACTTAAACGGAGACAAGGGTTTCAAGACTTCGTAAAGGCTTTAAGAAAATATGGAAGCGAACACACTGCGCTTCTCTTAGACCCGAACTACAACTTCAGAGGCAAGTAATTTAAAAGTATCATAATTCTTCAAATATGCTGGGTTTTGATGAAATTTATACTTCATTACGTTTTTAAAAGTACTGAAAAAATGATGGGAAAGTGTTCAGTCCTCATCAGTTTAATATTAACAAACCGAAAGTCCTGATTGAAAAACAACTGCAGAAAACGAAATCGAAAGGAGTCCATGAAACTCGGGCATCAACCTATAATTTAATTCAAAAAGTCCTTTTCTCGATTAAAAATGTATAGTAGCAGTATACTCGTAGATTAGCGAGAAAGGTGTTTTATTACATGTACCTAACTATATCTTGGGTAAAGAAAAAAACTACCTTGCAATTATTAGATTGTGAATTTATGTTTTGAAATTATTATTTCACGCAGATGATGACGACGACGATGAACAAACCGCTGACCCTGATGGGTCGGGGCTCGGTTTTAGAAGGATTGGAACAGCTATTGGTTGGTTTTCTTGTCTTTTTTCTTTTCTTTTCCTTTCTTTGACGTTATCTTGTATTTCTTTTCTATTCCTTTTTCTTCCTTTCTTTTTTTAACTTCATCTTCTATTACTTTCACCATCCAACCTCTTTCCCAGGGCCTTTTAACTTTCTTTTTTTTTTTTTTTTTTTAACTTAAATTATTATTATCATTATCCTAATTATTATATTATTATTGTTATTTTAACTGTCATTTGTTTATTTTATTATTAGTGTTATTATTATTATTATTTAAACTGAACAACATACTTTTCTTTCTAATTTAAATTGCATTTAGATGTGCCGATTTCCGGAAAACTCTTACCAGAAGAATGTGAGGAGAACACTGGAAGCTATTGTGCATTAGAGCGTAATGTCGCTGAGCGTTTTGGTGACCAAACGTCTTCAGAAAACAGAAGAATGCGAAAAGAATTCCAAAAGGTAATCATGCGAATTCGTAATGAAAAAAAATTTGGCGTTCAAATCTAAGCAATAATGACAAAATTGCTGCCAAAGTATACTTGAATGTCGCGTTTTGTGACCTCCTCCAAGTCTAAAACGGGTATGGAGTTTAGAAGTCAGGTCTGAAAACGGGTGTGGAAAATGACATTTATTGGTCTGAAATGGGGTCGACTTCAGGGTCTGGAGAACCGGGGGACACACCTCAACCAAGAATTCCCAGGAAAACTCCTCTTCCCCGGCTGGTTGTACAAAGGCTATTTTTAGTCTTTAAAAACAGTGCAAAACAAGGGTATTTCCATTGTTTCGCACTACGTATCGCTTACTGCGCATATCACTGCGATAGAAAAGGTGGCGGTAAGTTCCACGAGGTAACAAAGGCCCCTTTTGTAGTCCAAATGGTCTTAATTGCGATTATGATACCTTTTCCCTTCTAAAAAGGTGCTAGCCTTGAAACTTACCCCAGTCCCTTCGCGCAAAATGATCATTAATTTTTGAAGCCGAAATTGTCCCTTTGTCGTCTTTTTTGCCATGAAACGAGACGCCGAACTCCGTTTTTGTTTGTGATTGGTGCTTTTTACTCGTTATGCCAATAGGAAAATACAGGGTGTTTCAAAAGTTCGCTCCGATTTTTTATTTGCCCCCTGAGTATTAACAAAAACCTTTTGTAAACTAAGTATTCTATTCATTATTCATTTAACATTCAGTACCTAAAATATTAGTAACCAGAACGTCTTCCTGTATGTTTTCTGACATTTTCTAAGCGGTGAGGTATAGAATGTACGAGTTCCCAAAGTCCAAAGTCACATTCTTCCGGGCGAAGCGTAGTCACTGTCTTAGCTCTTCCAATGTTTTGGGGGCTGGATCTTTGTATGTTGTCTCGTCTACGATAAACCGGATGGTCTCTACGGGTTCAGATCACGTGAGTTTGCCGGCCGGTCCTCCTTTGGTATAAAGTTGACAAATCCTTCTGACACCATGCTTGCATGAAGGGTGCACCGCCTTTTTCTCTTCAAGGCTCTCCAACTTTTTTTGGTAGCTTATCCCCATACTGTTGTGCTCGAAACTTTGATCGACAATGTGAAGTTGAAATTTTTTTACCTTTCTGTTTTTGTGGAATTATTACGCATATACTTACCGCTTTTTTGATAATATTTCTCACACAGTTTGTGAAAAAACGGCCATCCACTCCTTAGTTTGCCTTCTTAGGTCTTTACTTTTGACCAGTTTTTCGGTCATCGTTCAGACTTCTTCAACAATTTGGCGATTTTTCTTTTTTTGACTGAATGGCCAGAAGACCATAAAAATAGATGCCTGCGCTCGAACACAAACGGTGTAGGCCTTAATTTTCATGAAGGAGTAGAGAAAAAAAAAAGAAAACGATAAAAATACCAAAATAGAAAACCTACAAAATGGGCGGGAAAATCCTCGCGTACGTGTACAGCTGGGGCAAAATTCTAAAAAAAAATTACAATTTCTTCAAATTTTAGTTTGAAATTGCTTTAAACGGTTATTTAGATAAATTTCTTACCTGAATCAGTTTACATTTGCCTAAAGAAGCATTAAATGCTTTGCGCAAAATACAATTTACAATCGGAACGAACTTTTGAAACACACTGTATATATTATTTTAAGGGGAAAAATCTGGACAGTACAATTTGTATTATTCAAATCTGAATTGCGCATAATGGAAAAAATTGTCCATTTTTCTTATCTTCTTGCATACGGTAATTTGAAATCACTTTTCTAATAAAGCATAGCCCAGACAAACAAACGGGCTCTATGTTTTAATAAGATGAATAGTTTTTGTAAAAAAAAAGTATTTTGACGGTTGTTCAAGTTTCGACCATTTTTCGCGCAACCATCACAAAACACTTAGTATCACAGGCACGCAGGGCAAAAACAAGCACAGTGACAGCATCATTGAGCGCAATTTTTTTTAACATCCCATATATGGTTATTAATTGATCCAAGTTTGAAACAAATCTGGATAATACATCCTTTTCAAGAGAATTACCTTAAAACCTTTTAAACGTATAGTATATATTAAGCATGATTTATAGCCTACCTACTGTACCCCTAGTGTTAATACACTTTAAACAGCACCACTCTTAACTGGACAACTACGATATAATCCGAGCCTAGCCTTGCCCCCCTGAGAGGACTTGATCGCAGCCTTTCATCGACGCAACATAACGGCTCGTCCGTCCGGCTCGTCAAGATATCTTTGTCTTTGCTGTCTTGTTATTAGTGTTAATTTTGAAACTCACTACCGTGATGATGATGATGACGACAAGAAAGGAGCTTTATCCTCTCTTGATATAAGAATTAAGTAGTGGAAGCTTTACAGTCTATGCAGGAGTACTTTTTGTTTTTTAAGTCTTAAAGTACTTACTACACTCACTTCCCTGAAGTCACATTCGTCCACAAAACGTATATACGCGTCGTTTCCCTATGGCTGCAGTTTCCTTAACCTAACCAACGTCTTCCGCCAACTTAACACTTGATTCGCGAACGTCGCGAAGCATTGCGTGGGAAGTCACCCAGCTGTCAACATTGGTAAAATTAATGACATATGATTGCCTATCCGGCTAAACCCTCTAGGGAACAATAAATCTCCGAGAAAATCTATAAAATAACTGTAGAAGGATTACGATGGGTATAGGTAAGCCTTTCCACAAGTTGCGCGGCAACTTTTGGGCAACTTCTTGTATTTCGAGCTCGAGAAAATTTTTCCGTTTCGAGCATTCTGAGAAATTTCTAGTTTTCTACTAAATCTGATATATCGGAGCTGCTTTTAGTGCTTAAATTGGCCTTGCTTCCATATTTCACTATGTTGTAGCAAGAGAGAATGATCTAGCTCATTCTCTCTTGGTTGTAGTAGACAATTTATGAATTTCCTTTGAAAAAGGAAGATGCATGCTGCATGGCTGCTAGGTCAGCGGTTTTTAAAGTAAATTCAAAACGGGGGAAGAAAATAGTTTGGAGTCTTGACAACAACAACAACAATTTAATTAGCTCATACCAGAATTTTTATACGATTAATATCAATATTGATACGTAGTCTTTACTCATACATTTTTTGGTTTTAATTGAGGGCAAAGTTATTTAGCAACGCTGGATACACCGTAAAAATGCACAAGGTGCTTGGAAATTTTACTTTTGTTGTACAATTTGCAAATTTTGCGTCAGACGGCGAATAAAGGAAGAGAGCAACAAAAAAAAGGTTTTTTTTAATCAACTTTTGTTGCAAAAAAACCTTTTGACCTCTTTTTGAGGAACGTTTTGAGAAACTGTTGGAATTGTGGGGGAAAATCTCAAGCAAATTGTGGAAAGCCCTAGGTATAGGGCCTATATGGGGTTTAATTCTCTCTGCTCTCTTGCGATCATGATGATGATGATGATAATGATTATGATGATGATGACAATAAATTTCATGGCTTTTTTAAATAGCATCTTCCCAAGGGTGCAGCGTTTGTAAAGACCTCTAAGGGCTCAATTATCTTGACTTTCCGTCTGTCAAGTGAACAAGCAGCAAGTGAACTATGGGACATGTACACCGACGGAGAATTCCAGTCCATGGTGCAAACAGTGTTCGTGGAAGACGCGTTAAAGGATTCACATAGGGACGGTTTGGAAAAAGCTCCGAAACTGGAACTCAGCCTTTGTGTAGAGCGATTCAAGAAAATAAGAGAGAAACTTAGAGGTAGGTTGTCAATGAGTGAAATTTGCCGGTTTGCACATAGCTACTAAACTGCTTGTTACTGGTTACTTGTCACTGCTTTTTGTTCTCTTTTTAGTGTTGTCATTTGTTTTTCGTTTTTCCATTCATCCCGTCCCTTTCATAACATGTGAGATATGGGGCCTTTAAGGGCGTATTCTGATCAGCCCAGAGTCCTCTTAATTTCTGCTCTTACAAAAAGAGGAGTAGCCAGGACTTTTCTGAGGTTTCCACAGACGTGAAAAGAATAATCAATGATTAGCTCCGTGCCAGCTGCACAGAGCTCATTACTGAGCGGACTAATTGGTTTCTATATATATCAATTTCTAACCACAATTCTCTCATTCTCGAATCAATCCTATTTCCCCCCAAAAAATTAATAAGTTACCGTAAAAGAACTGCCCTGAACTGCATCATCTTCAAACTTGGCATTTAAATGCACAAAAACTTGGATATATTATTAAGTTGAATGAAATTCGTTCGTTGATTTTTTTACGCCTTTCCCGTGTTGCCGTATCTTTCGACTGATGAACTCTTGATTCCCACGGAGTTCACGAACGTTTTTCATTGATCTATGTCATTCTTGCTTTTCACCTTACAGTTTTCATGTTCCCACCAATAACATAGTTCCAACATCCGATATATAAACCACACACGACCCCCCAATTCCCTGATTTGCCCTGACGAATCTTCTTGGCCAGACCACTTTAATTATCAACTCTGAGTTGATAAAAACAAATCTTTGTTTATCACTGCTCCACTGACGTAACACCACCGGCAGTTTCTTTAGAAACTAACCCCTTCATTCATACGCCATTTAAACAGGCTCGAGCTATTTTTTCAGAACGTGCATTAGGCGTTCGGAGTCCCTGATCCGCAACAATCCGTCATTAAGCTAAACGACAATAAAGGATCATCATGGTTAGAAATTACCTGGGTGCTACTCCAACGTGCTGCTCTACTAATACCTGCCATTTTTTTTTTTTACGAAAAAAAAGAAATCTTATACTTATTAGGATTGACCTATCTTTTATATAATGCTGTGACTAAAAAAAAAAAAGTATAGAACAATGATAAAAGTCTTATTTGTTCTCACGTTGATAGAGATTGAGTCTGAACAAGAGAGTGACAGTTTCCTTTCTTTTCCAAGGCAACCAGGTATATTTGTATAGGTAATAGCATTATTTGTAGTGATATTTGGCATAAATACCACGAGTGATATTTCAAAATTGTTATACGTAATTTCATGAGCCGTTAGGCGAGTGAAATTTGAGACAATTTTGAAATATCACGAGTGGTATTTATGCCAAATAACACGTACAGATCATGCTATTATTTGTTTATACTGCTACCCGCAAAGGTTTTGTAATTTTTACATGTAGGTATTTCAAATTAAGCTGAAATACCACTGCTCTAAGCCAATCAAATTGCAGTAATTTTTCATGTAGTAGTATAATTAACTTTAATTCCTTCTAAACAAGGATTTATAATTAGTCTCTGAAATAAGAAACTTGATTTGTCTACATAGCAGTCTTGAACAGAATCCTCCGGATTGTTTGCAACGTTTACCATGTTAAGTAACATAGTTACTGACATCGTGCACTTACCATACATTTTTATCTCAATTTTTGCAATTTTTTTGGAAAAGTAATGCGTTGAGCAAAACGCAGACGTTTCGACCTAGAAATAGGCCTAGGTTAATTAGAGAGCAAGAGTAATGTCTATCCTTCTTTATTGTTTTCTATTCTTAGTTATTACACGTCGGCACGACTGCGTACAAACGTTTAGAAGTCAAAACCATGTTAGACAGTGGAAAAGAGTTGAACTCGTCTGATAAGAGTGGACTATTTAAGGTGACTCGACCCAGTTTTTTGGGGGGGAACCATCCTACTTTGAAGCTCTCTGGCATCCTCACCTTTACTTTTATTGTAAGTCTAACACATAGAATGAATAACATATAGATCGACCTACAATATAACATAAAATTTTTGGCGATCGGAGTAAATGTCACGTGGTTATCATGCCACGCCCCTTTGAGGTCTGAGTCGAAAATCTGCTGTTACCGGCATTTTTTCGTGAAAATCTCTCGGCTACACATAGTGCGCATTAGTGCCTTGCGCTGAACAGAGTTTCACCAAAATCGCAAAGACCCAATTCGAGAAATTCAGCGGTTTCCAAATTTAGGTCATAATTTATGCCAAAATGATAGGCAAACTTTACACGGATTATATCTAATAAACTATGAGATTTATCTCTTTATTTTGGGCATCGTTATAACAGATGGGTCCTTGCAAGTCAGCAAAACGCTTTAGGGCCTTGTAAATGCGCGCTATTTCGAGCAAAGCAAACATATAGAAATTATAGGTTTGGCTATTTGTTGACGTTTGTCAGCGTTTAAGAGTCTTTCTCACGAAAAAAGCATTTTCTTAAAAATTTTTTTTTCGTAGTTTTTTTTTCCTTCAAATTTTTTCAGGGCCAAAATTGATTAACTAACTACCCGGACTCTGAATTTCATGGTCATTGAAAAACTGTGACATTATCTTCTATAAGCCCAAACTGGAGTAAACATTGAAGATTTTTAGCGTTTTGGCTGAGTTTGTGCTTTGGGAGTTGTCTATTGTTTCTAGTCTGTCATGAAACAGCATTCTTGTTCAGCACGCGTGCAATGACCGCGCTTGGCTGTGGCTGACTTCCGAATGCTCACCGGGATATGATAATTTTGGTACAGTGAGACAGGCCATCGCGTGATACATAGAGGTTTAACTCACAATTTTTAATCAATTCTCGTGCTTCTTGTGCCTTTGCAAAAAAATCAAGAAGTGCTACACGCTAAATCTACTTACTATTAAAAAAATATAATTTTTTCATAGGTTTAATGCAAGCCAATAATTAAACCAACTCGTGAGGGGAATCCCTTCTGTTTTCTTATACTAAATTATCATATCTCGGTGAGCATTCGGAAGTCAGCCAAGCGTGGTCATTGCACGCGTGCTGAACAAGAATGCTGTATGATGACAGACTAGAAACAATAGACAACTCCCAAAGCACAAACTCAGCCAAAACGCTAAAAATCTTCAATGTTTACTCAAGTTTGGGCTTATAGAAGATAATGTCACAGTTTTTCAATGACCATGAAATTCAGAGTCCGGGTAGTTAGTTAATCAATTGTGGCCCTGAAAAAATTTGAAGGAAAAAAAACTAAGAATTTTTAAGAAAATGCTTTTTTCGTGAGAAGGACTCTTAAACGCTAACAAACGTCAACAAATAGCCAAAACTATAATTTCTATATGTTTGCTTTGCTCGAAATCGCGCGCATTTACAAGGCCCTAAAGCGTTTTTCTGACTTGCAAGGACCCATCTGTTATAACGATGCCCAAAATAAAGAGAAGAATCTCATAGTTTATTAGATATAATCCGTGTAAAGTTTGCTTATCATTTTCGCATAAATTATGACCTAAATTTGGAAACCGCTGAATTTCTCGAATTGGGTCTTTGCGATTTTGGTGAAACTCTGTTCAGCGCAAGGCACTAATGCGCACTATGTGTAGCCGAGAGATTTTCACGAAAAAATGCCGGTAACAGCAGATTTTCGACTCAGACCTCAAAGGGGCGTGGCATTATAACCACGTGATATTTACTCCGATCGCCAAACATTTTATGTTATATTGTAGATTGATCTATATGTTATCCATTCTATGTGTTAGACTTACGATAAAAGTAAAGGTGGGGATACCAGGGAGCTTCAAAGTAGGATGGTACCCCCCCAAAAAACTGGGTCGAGTCACCTTAAACAGTCCTTAATATATCTTTACCAAATGAATTTTTTTCTTTTCAGAAAATGGAAAAGTTGAAGATAGTGAACTAGAAATGGAGTTCATCATTCCTGAAGGTATGTTTTTTACATTCAGATTGTTATCAAATTGAATCATCTCAGAGAAATGAAAAAACAAACAAACAAACAATTAACCAAAAAAGACGGAAGTATTAAACTTAAATAATATTATAATAAGAATGAAGGCCTAAGTAAAAACTGAAGTTATCTTACTCTGCTCCTCATCAAACTGGGAAAGTTAAGGAAGAAAAAGGCGTAAGAAAGGTTAAAGAAACTCAAAAACCCTCCGCATAACCCACCTCAATTAAACTTCATTGACCTCAACTTTAATTATTTTCAATGTGCTGTTTTAAGTAAAAAGCATCGCTAGTATGTGAAGCGTAAAGTAGGAAAAAATAACTAGACTGGAAATGTTCTTAAGGTTTCTTAGGTCTTAGCATAGACTATCCAAAGTTATATTAATCTGCAGTTTTTCTGGGAGACAAAGCCAACGATCTTGGCCCTGGTGAGCTTGAACTCAGAGAGTATCAGAAGGAATTGGCAGAACCTGCGATCCAAGGAAAAAATACCATCATATGTGCACCCACGAACAGTGGAAAAACGTACGTGGCCATAGAGATAACGAAAAGGCACCTCGAAAGGTTTGACAGCGATAGCGAGCAGTCAGGTAGGCGAGAAATTATTTAGTTATTATTACTAGTAATTGAACATCAGGCCAGTTCATTTGATCTATGGACATATTGTGAGGATCCGAAATAAATCCTTACGTCTAGGACGTCGTTTACACTTAAAAAAATCTTCGACGTGATGAATCGAAATTGAATTGGAGTCTAAACAAGCTCGAGAACCTGTTAGGTTAAAATTTGCCAGTAAGCCCACTCTATACAAGAACCTGTTTGCCATAAAGTTTGAAACAGGTTCTTATTTTCTAAAATCTAAAAAAAAAAATTGAACTATTGGACATATAACATAAATCAACATTCAGGATACTGAAAATGAAGAAATGATCTTCGCAGTGAACGCAATTTATGCAATTGCGTAAAGAAGCCTGAAAAAAATTCAGGATTTCAAGGGGGTTTGAATTCAGTATACTCTTTGAAAACATAGGTGCCTTGTCACTCCAAGTGCAACTGTAAGAGTATACATGTTTTAGTTCAATAATGAGCTGAATACCACTAAACACTTAGCTCGCTTAAATTTGTGCTTACCACTGGCATTTATTTGTATTTTAACCTTTTTAGGCTAACTTGAGGCAAATGCAGGTTCCTAGTCGCGCGTTTTTACTGTTTGTATCTCAGTGCAGAATAGACGTTCAAATGTAATAATCCTTGGGAAAATAGGACGCGCTCAATCCTCAATCCAGAATGTTCTAAAATTTCAATGCTATATTTCGTAACTTGTTTTTTTTTTTTTTTAATTTCTTTCTTGATCGTTTTCATTAGGGAAAAAATGTTACTTAATCCTGTCAAAGTGATATAATAAACGACGATTCAATTTACAGGATAGGAAAAAACGTTTTACATAAACGCTTTCTAGTGATGGATAAGACGTTTTGTAATAAACGTGATTTATGCTGTAAATCACGTGATAAAACGTTTTGATAGATCGCGGGGAGCTCGAAACCAGCGCCTCTGTTCTATGTTGGAGCGTGACAAAATATTCCGATGGCCTCCTAAGTATTCTCTTGAACATGTCCTCCTCCGTCTCGAGGATCGAAAAGGAGAATATATCCAAGGTGTGGCCTCTTAATGGAATACTTCTTAATGTCAAATTGTTAACAGTTTGAGGAAAAAAGGAAATCTCTGCCGTATAGGTGGCTTGGATATTTGAGACAGATTGTTGTAAACTTTTGTGTTATTTACCTTTGAACATCTTCAAGAATGATTTGATATCCAGCCATCTCAAGGAGAATCTAAATAAAGAAACGCGACTGCCCCCAACAGGTGTCTTGATATCGCTTAAAACATAGCCCTTTTTTTCTTTTGGCGATTGTAAGTCCCAAGAGAAATTGAAAGCTATGATTATGCAAAGTTTTCGAGAGACAACAAAGAGTATTATGGTATTTTTTAAAAAAAAAGATCTATTGCGTAGTGTTATGTTTGATGTATTTATTACATCTCAAATTTGAATCTGTTTTGAACTATAGCTTCCAGTAACACCAACAGAAAGGAAGGTCGCGTGGTGTTCATTGTTAGCACAGTGAATCTTGTCCTACAACAGAAGGATCGATTTGCTTATTTCTTGGGCGGCAAGTATTCTGTAGGAGAAATCTCCGGAGCTAATTCAACAGATATACCGCTCAAATACCTCCTACAAAGCAACAATGTTGTGGTGATGACGGCCCAGATACTTGTCAACGCCCTAAACAGCAAGAACAAAGAGGAACGAGTAGAGCTAAAGGACATCAGTCTGTTGTTATTTGATGAATGTCACCACGCTCATAAGGAGCATCCTTATAACAATATTATGGAAAAGTACCTGGCCTTACAGTCTCAGCCCGGATACCAACACAGCCTACCACAGGTATTACACAACTTTCAAATCATGTGTTTACTTACTGCGTTTCCTTGAGAGTTTCCTCATCACAACAGGATCAACACAATCTGGTGTCTAGGCCATAGAAAATCTTACGGTACAATTTTGTGCCTAGACACCAGATATGAAAAGGCACTTGTGAACAGAAGTCTTTTTAGGGAATATTTCCGTTTATTGAATTCCTTGGCCATATGAATTCAAATCGGGATATAGACGTTGACTAACTCGCTATCAGTGAAAGATTCTAAGAAAAAGCTGTGATTAATGGAGGTTATACATAACGGAAGACAAAACTAGACAATACCGTACCTACCTGATCGTAACTTGGGTTGTAAAAATCCAATGTTACCCTTTTTTATAGCCTGCGAACGGCAGACGTGTCTGCTCGCTCATCGCCGCTGAAGGGACGTTTCGCGAAGAGGAACGTCTGCGACTCAGGGACGGAAATTCCATACTGATGACGTAAATCAATGTTTACTTAATCAATTTTACGTTTCTCCTGGTCGATTTTGGAAAAGTGTTGTGTTCATCTGCGAATGAGCTCCAGCAAAACTCAAAGGCTTCTTCTAGAGAAGACTATATTCCACACATATTGACTGTTTTGTTAGAGATTCATCGCGTTTACATTTGACCTTAGCCGCCTTTTGTCTTTTGTCTGTCATTCGTAAACAATAGCTAGAATAATGAAACTACTCCGTCGACCAATTAGCGCCTCTGACCGGATTTCGGACAGATTTTGCGTCATCAGTATGGAATTTCTGTCGCTGAGTCGCAGACGTTCCTCCTTGCGAAACCTCCCTCAGTGCTGATGAGCGAGGAGGGACGCCTGCCGTTGCCGGGTACCTTTTTCACCAAAGTATGATATTTTGTTTGGCAGATCGTTGGCCTGACAGCGTCTCTTGGTACTGGTAAAGCGTCGAGTGTGGATAGAGCAGAAGAACATATCATTCTTGTATCTGCAAATTTAGATGCCGAAGCTATCTCTACTGTGAGGAAAAACCAGGCTGAGCTTAAGAAGTACGCAAACGTCCCTGAAAGAGCAACTCATCACGTGGAAAAGAACAAGCAAGATCCATTTGAAAAGATCGTCTCCAAGGTAACGTTAGCGATAAATTCTTGTCAATACTAAACGAGTCACCGGGTTTACTCTTCTTAGTGTAGCGCTATTCAATGCTGTTTTCCTTTCCAGGGACAGGGTTCCCATAATATCCTGGTTCATTTGTCTAAAGGCCCTAATCGAGAAACATCAACTAATCCTAAAGAATCTGATCGAGGTGTAAGTGAAAAGCATACCCAAACTTTGATGTGTGCGATGCACCTTTAAGATAAAAGCATCCAAGGTTCGCCATTGGGTTTTAGCTTGCTTTATTTATTTAATTTGTTTGTTTGTTTTTAAAAGGTGATGGTACAAATAGAAGGCAGACTTAAGAAAATGAGAGGCAAGTCCTTCAAGGCAGGGCCCCCAGACAAAGGAAGTCAACAGTATCGTCAGTGGGTAGAAGAATTCTACAAAGATGCGGTGGCGGCTGGTGACAGGTACCTGGTGACCTACACCGAACACCTTCGTGAATATCACATCTCACTTACTTTGAATTCAAACACGAGGATGAAGAATGCCAGGAGTTATCTCCAGAAATACTTTCGATCGTTGGATAGAGAAAAGTTCACGGATATTGATGAAATTCTGGAAAAACTCTTCTACAAGGCAATGGAAGCCTTAGATAAATTCATCGAAAAGAATGGCGGCGAGCCTGAAAATCCGAAGCTAACGAGACTGAAAGATTTGTTGTTGGAAAACTACAAGGAGTTTCAGAACAGCGACAATGGTCAGCACAACCAGACGAACGAAAGTAGAGAAGGAGATGCAACCAGTCGAGAATCGGCGAATGAAAATGGCCAAGAGAAGGTAGGCAGCAAGGAGAGCGCGATGAATGGAGACGTTGAAGCTTCCAAAATGTCTGATGATAAAGTCACAGAAGCAACCAAAAGTACAGGTGAAGTGGACAGGAAAACACCTGGTCGAGAAGAAAATGCAAGAAAAGATGAGGACAAGAGAGAAAATATGAGCTTGAAGACAGAGCAATCCGCTACTAACACTACTGAGAGGTCCTCCCCACACACAGCAGCCAATCAAGAAGAGGAAAGTGGCAGTGAAATTTTGTGTGTTAACGCAACGAATACCGCTGAAGGTTCCTCATCAGAGGTCCTTTCAGATTCACCTGACGAAAGTAACAGTGAAGCATTGGACGACCTTAAACTGGATGTGACTGAAAGTTCCTCGTCAGACACGGCGAATGAAGATGATAAGGCAGAACAAACAAAATCTCGTCATCATCCAGAATGGGAAGGTCCAAAAGGAATTTTGTTCACTAGAACTCGTGAGTCAACAGAAGCACTCCTGGACTGGATCAAAGAGACTGAAGAACTTAACAAAGTACTCAGACCAGTGCTACTAGTCGGCAGTGGAGATGGAAAGAGTAAGTAATACTTGATTTCATTAGTTACTTTTATAGCTGGTGCCACTTTAAACTGAGTGTAACGCAATGATTTATAGTTGTATCGTAAAAAAACTGTGAAGGCAAGTGTTGTGAAGTATTTTCTACTGAGTAGGTTGTTTTAAAGATTTGTGTGTCATGCGCTCTTTAGTTGATTTCATATTTGTACTTGAAGCTTCACTCGTGCCTAGAGTCTCATTATGATTATGTTTGTAGATCAAGGTTAATCTTCGTTTTTTGAAGTTTATTAGCTTTTTACTAGTGATTTGTTGTCAACAGAAGTGTTATTTGTCTTGTAGTTTAATTAAATTTTTGTCTGTCCTTGCATGAAGTAGGCACGTTTTGGATTCTACCTGACCTTTATTTTTACCCACATCAGAGTTCCTGTACTGCTTTAAGGTCACGGTAGAATCTCGCGGTTTTGGTTGTCAAGTTTTATTAGCTTTCTTTTTCTGGACCTGTTTAACCTTGCGGGTTTGTTTTCACCCACTTTAGTGATCGACAAGAAATTCGTCGGTTAAAGTCACTAGGAAATGCTTTTTCAACTCTCATACTCAGCAAGCCCGAACGTACCTAAATTTTAGTTATTTTTAAAAGTTGCCAAAATTTGGCGCAGTTTTTAGTTTGAATAAGCGGGTTGGGTTGGGGAAATAGAGTTGGTGCAGTAGAAGAAGGACGTATGAGCTGCTGTCAAGAATAACTACACCAAGATGTGGTACCTATTCGCTAAAGAAGCGAATTCCTCGAACACCCTTACACAAGCTTAGCAGCAAACGTAAAATAAACTGTGCTAAAAGATTTTCAAAGACTATCAGTTTGCATGATTAGCGACATTTTTACTAAAAAACACTAGTTTTCACCTAGAATTCTTATAGTAGTTCAGTTTTAGGAGATGAAGCAGATGAAACATTCAGGATGATCATGATTGCGTTCTTAAATTTCAGTCGGCATGACCCAGAATGAGCAGGAGCGAGTTATTAAAAGGTTCAAAACAGGAGAAAAGAATCTTTTACTGGCGACCAGCGTCGCAGAGGAAGGCCTGGACATTAGTGATTGTAACTATGTTATTCGCTACGACATGATGGGCAACGAAATCTCCTCAGTACAATCACGTGGCCGTGTCAGGTAAGCCAGTACCTTTCGAAGAGTAGGACTGCTGTGTTCAGCGGACAGTTACTCTAGGTCAAAAATCTATAAATTGTCTTTTGATATACGGACGACCTAATGATCTTTTATATATTGGATCAGCAAAAGGCCTGCAATCCATTTTAAATTAGGTGGAATCTTTCTGTGAAAATGCTGACTTAGATTTCAACTCAGAGAAGACAAAAGTTAATGATTTTAATAACGATCGCGGCGGATCTTTTATATATTGGATCAGCAAAAGACCTGAAATCCATTTTAAATTAGGTGGAATCTTTCTGTGAAAATGCTGATTTAGATTTCAACTCAGAGAAGACAAAAGTTAATGATTTTAATAACGATCGCGGCAAATCCTTAACCAACTTTTCCTTTAGATGATGACGCAAATAAATTAGAAAGCGTCAAATAGTGCAAAAAATCTCGGACTAATACTGAGACCACGTGGAAATTTTAATTTCGCTTAGTAATACAGGAGCTGAAAAAAGTTGTACTCAATGTTTTGAGTGCAAAAGAGATGGGGAAGCAACTTTAGAAAAAAATATTTAATTAACGTTAAAACCATTTGATAACACATATCCCCCATACTCCTTTATGGGAGTGAAATATGGCCGACCATTGAGTGCAATGGACAAAAAGATAAGGATTCCGCAGAACTAGTTCAGAACAAATTCTTAAAATGGCTACTTAGTTTAAATAAATACTGCAATGATAATGCGTCTAGGGCAGAAACGGGAAGGTCTCGATGAAAATTGAAGCCCAGTGGTGAACTTTAAGTTGTGGCCAGTAACTCTAGCGCAAAAAAAGAACATGATATGAAAAAGACATTAAATGGAAAGAAATTGAGGCTTTCTCGAGCAAAAACATCAGAAGCACATTAGACCAGATAGGGCCAGGAGAACTTTGGATAAAAGGACACTATATGGATATAGAAATGGTAGACACAATGAGGTTAATCGAACAACAAAACTGGATGAGTGAAATGAATAACGACATTAGAAGAGATGCTGTCCGAAAATACAAAACAATAGACAATTAAAAATGTCAGCAAGACCCGTCACAGAATAACTTCAACAAAATTACGACTAAGCAATGATAAAATCGCCCCAGAAACGGGGCTCGGTTCCTCGAAAGATTGATAAGTTTAATCCAGGATTAAGCCAAATCTTAAACAAGGTTTTCTGGTCTAAGAACATGCAACTCCAGCTTACAAAATACTGTTGTGCCTTTACTCCGAGATAAAGTAATGATAACAAAAAATGTGACTCTAAGCAATACATAGGAAAGAAAAACACAATCCTGGATTAGCACTAGTCGGCCTCTCAGAAAGCGGGGCCAGGTCGATACTTAAGACCTTATAAAAAAAAAACCTGATAAGATATGTCCAATCTATAAGGTAGAAATGGGGGACGAATATCACTTTTTACCTGTATGACCCACTTACCAGCAAGAATAGAAAAGTTCTAAGCAATTACTTGAAAAATGAACATCTAATAAGTGACAGAATGTCACCCAATAAAGTATTCGTGTTTCTAATAAATCCCCCCGCCCCCGCTCCCAGCGGAAAGGCTGAAATCCAAAAATTTATAGCAAAGCATGAGTTTGAATGCTTCAAGATGAGAAAAGAGTGGATAGAAAAAAAAACTAAATGTTATGTACATGTGTATTTATGTGTAGTTGTTTTCGTGTAATTAACATTTTAGTAACTGCAAGTTTGAATTATCTGGAAAACGTTGATGCACCAGCTTGTATAAGACTCCTAATAACTATTGTCTTGTCTTTTTCTGTCGTCTTGTCTGCATACGAAAAAAGTGTTTTTTTTTTCCTTCTTCTGTAGGGCGGAATATGGGAAGTACAGCGTGTTGGTAGGTCATTCAGGAGCACGGAAGAGAGAAAAAATGAGTGCCTTCAGGGAAATGCTAATGACTGAAGCTCTTAATAAAGTGCAGAGTTTGGATCCAGAAACCTTTAAGAAAAAGGTGAGACCGGCGCAAATAAGGTTGTTATCAAAATAAAGATAATCACCATGATCATCATCATCAAAATGATCAGCCCCAATATTATTATTGTAGTAATTTTTGGCAACGAATTGGTCGACATGGTGTTGTTTACCCCTCATCTTCTGAAGGATAGAGGGGTAGAAGTTGTACTAGGTTACTTTATCTCGTAATGTAAGTGTTCCACGTCTTTCCTCTGCTCAACTAACAATCCCTTTGAAATATGGTTTATTGTTTCTTTTTACGTCAATGGTATGATAATTATGTTACCTCGGCTTCCTGGAGCTTACATACTTACATTAACGCGAAAGAGACGGAATCTTCAGAAACCGTGAGGCGTCATTGACAAACATTTATAAGGGTTCCTTTCAGCATACTTGACATTCAATTTTTGGTTTTCTCATTATATTTTATTCTTTTAGGTGAAAGAATTGCAACAAAAGAGTTATCGAGAACGCTACCTAAAGAAGCACATTTATGCTCTCAGTAAGTCAAAGCATTTGCCTGGTGACGTCACCTTTCTATGCCGGAAGTGCAAAGAAACTGTTTGCCAAGCGCATGATGTCCGGTGCATCCAAGGCAGTCACCACGTGATCATTAACAGTGATGTCCGGGATACAAAGGTAATTCCAAAAAAACATACAATCAGTTGACAATCGCGCACGAAAGTGGTTTTTTCCAATGTTCGTCAAAATTAATTCCAATTTTTTTATTCCGGCAACCGGTTAGGTTAAGAAGGCATTATTTGGTGTCTCAAAATAATCGCAGAAAAAATGACTGATCATTAATATTGATCATTTGAATATTTAGAGAAAGTCCGCCGATATAGTATACGGTTGTTGTAAATTGGTTGGTCCCGCTAAAAGATTGCGGAGTGCCTTTTTCAGGATGACTGATATATTGTACTTTCTTGTAAAAAGTTGCGCTTCCTAAATTAAGAATAATTAAATGCCAGTTTCTTTTATTCCTGCTGACTGATTATTTCGATGTTTGCTGAAGTTGATTCACGCGAAATCTGTCCTGACTCTATTTACATCAAACACACGTTAAAGCTCTTGAAAGACCACACTGGAAAGTAAATCACAATACATCATTACAAATTATAGCTGCTTTCAGTGAGATATTGTTAAATTACCGTAAAATTCCGAACATAAGCCCCTCCAAATATAAGCCCCCAAACTCGTAACGCAAAAAGCCCTCCGTTAAGTCCCCACTCCAAATATAAGACCCCCCCGGGGGGGGGTTGTACTTGGAAATTGCCCTCAAATACAAAGTAAAACAAAGCAAAAAGGGTAAATTTCCTTTGAACTGTAAGGCTAGCTTAATCGATTTTGAAACGCAAATTTCCCTCCGTAGATAAGCCCCTCCGAATATAAGCCCCTTCAAACATAAGCTCCTCAAAAAGGGCCTTTGAAAAATATAAGCCCCAGGGCTTATTTTCGGAATTTTAGGGTAGTTTATAAAATTTCTTGTTTTAAAAGAAACACACTTAGTAAAAAAACATAAATACCTTATTTTAACAGTTGCTCTACTTAACGAGTCTTACAGTGCTTTTAATCTTAATATGGAAAGTAAAGACAAAGTTGACCTGTTTCAGACACTGTTACGAAAACTATTCCTGAAGAAGAGGAAAAGGAGAATTAACGCAGACAATGAAAATTATATGTACAAAACTCATGGAATGTTGTGCAAAAAATCCGGAAGTGCAAGAGGGCTTCAAATTTACTGTATAATCCTCAGAGCCATGATGTGCTGTATATCCTTATTTTATATACAAACAAACAAAAGAATTGCCAAATTTATAAATCCACTTGTTTCTTTCATTACAAAGGTGGACATCAAAAACCACCCGAATCCGAAGAAAATCGATGACATAGAAATGAACAAGAAGATTTACTGCAAGAATTGTGGTGAGGACTGGGGTGTTACAGCTCTTATAAGCGGGGTGGAGTGGCTGTGTATCAAGATTTGCAGTTTTGTTCTGGAGTTTCCAGGAAAAGATCAACCTCGAAGAATGTACAAAAAGTGGAAAGATTTACCGTTTGGCATCAAAGAAGCAAGCATGGAAGAGATTTTAAAACACAGCGGTGAGAAAGGACCAGGAGATGACCTGCTAGATTTCAGCTTTGATGATTGATCACGTCGTTTGATTTTTAAGAAAAGAGAGAGAGAAATTTAAAATATTGTCTGTATAACGTTTCATTTCTTCATTTTGCTTTTGGTGTTCTGGGGTGGCCATAAAAACGGTAGATAGTTGGTATAAATCAGATGTTTCTTGTAAAACTTTAGAGCAGCCTGTCATGCAGCAGAAGACTGAGTAAAAAAAAAAAATCAATGTAAAGGGCGTAGTAAGCGGTATAGGATAAAACACGCGATGGCTCTTTAAATGTATTTTGCAGTTGAATTGAACTGAATTGGTGAGTTAAAGTATTAGTCATTAATGAAAAGCAACAGAACTATTCAGGAACAAAGTTATTTACCGAAGGAACAGTACCTAATAATTAAATCTGCTTTGTTCAGTTGAAGTCATGTTGTTTTGTTAGCAACATAGTGGGTTATAAGCTCTACGTCATAACATTAAGCGTTTCAGCATTCAATTTGAAAATCGCAACGAAAACGTTAACCAACTATCGTTCGCACCACTACCTTCTAGGGAAAATTATTTTAGCTTCCTCTTTGGAATTCCCCTCGGAATGTTCCGTCAACTGACATTTTTACCTCTGTATCAGTAGAATACTTTAAAAAGAGGACAGAAGTACACTAAGCATAAATAATTTTACAACGTTGCTTCAAAAAGATATACCAAATGGCTCTAGCAAACAGAAGTCTTTATGATTGCGAGAAAAGTATTTCAAAGTTATCGATGACAAAAAAAGCCTAGCTAGTTGTTGGGTAAAACTAAATAGTAACAATAAAGGTGTGCGTGCTTTCTTACTGTTGGTCACGTGGACCCTGCGTTTTTCTAGCAATCTACAATGACTTGGGCTACGTTCACACGGAACCGGACGAATTTTTGACCCGCTGAATTGAGCGGACGCTTCGTCCTTGAAGCCGTTCAATATTTTCACTTCCTTTCATGTGGAACTGACTAAACAAGTTGAATTTTAACTTTTGTCAGAGGTACAACCATCTGTCAACGCGCAGATTTTCCTGGTCGGCTAAGTCAAAATTAAGTCATCCCCTGAAAATGTTAATATATCCACAAATCCGTAGTAGCCTGCGTAGCTGGTGGTTTTGTTAGGAAGGGGAGATGGCGAGTGGCGAAGCCATGCAGGAGGAGAAATTACATGGGAGCTCTCAAGAACTCGTTTGTAAACGTTTGGGGTCGTGTTCTGATGGACAAAGCGCTTTACTTACAGAACAGTTACCGCGCAACGGTCATCTTACTATCGCGCTGTAATTGCCTGGAACTCTCTGACCGCAGACACTAGAAATAGCCCGTCACTATGTACCTTTAGGAGAAGTGTCAAACGCGAATTGTGGGTGCAGAACCCATGCGTTAAATAGTTGATATTTGATTTAGTTTAGATCTCCAAAGATATAACGTAATTGTATGCGCATAGTTTAGGCTTTTAGTTTTTGTACCAAGATTGTAATTAATTTAAGCTTTTTCTTCTTATCCCCTTATCCCCTTATCCCCGACCAGGAAAATCTGCGCGTTGACAGATGGTTGTACCTCTGACAAAAGTTAAAATTCAACTTGTTTAGTCAGTTCCACATGAAAGGAAGTGAAAATATTGAACGGCTTCAAGGACGAAGCGTCCGCTCAATTCAGCGGGTCAAAAATTCGTCCGGTTCCGTGTGAACGTAGGGCTATTCTGAAGTTATTTGAAATAACTTCAGAATAGCCCTTTGGGAGAGTTAATAAAAATTATTGTATTGTATTGTATAATAGTAATAATCCTACTAAAACATGACTTACAACTAAAAGGACGATGAAAAAGGTATGTTTTGATTTTTGATTTGAAAGCGCTCAGCTCAAAACATTTGCGTAAACTGACTGACATGAAATTTTATATCTTAGGCCTGTTTCAAACGTCCTGCTACTGCCGTGCTAAACTAGCTCGACTGTAGCTCGACTGCAGCACAACACTAGCACGACTTGGTTTCAGACGTCGAATTTAATTCACACAACTACAGTCGTATGGAACGGCTTTTGCCAAAAACAAAACACAAAAATAAAGAAACGGTTTAGCAAACTTTTAAATATACTCTAATGTATTTATAATTTGTAAATTGAGTTCGGCACGGCGGTAGCACGACGTTTGAGACCAAGTCGAGCTACTGCCGTGTAGCACGGCAAGGCTTGCCGTGCTACACGGCAGTAGCACGACTTGGTTTTAAACGTCGCGCTATTACTGTGCTAAAGTTGAATTTATCTCGATCAATTGAGTTCGGCACGGCAGTAGCACGACGTTTGAAACGGGCCTTAGGTGCTGCGTTTGAAAAAGCTCTGTAACCATAGTTTTAATTCACAGAGCGCAAAGTTCTTTTTGGTCTATAACGGACTAACAGTTCTTTCATATAAGATGATGCTACATCGTTAGTGATTTAAATGCAAGAAGTTCACTGATCAGTCAGTCCAATGAAGAGACCTTAAAGTGAGTGAAATATATTCATGTTTCCTAGTGCCAGCCAAAAGACGTGCTGCTGAATCTTGCACAAACTGAAGTTTGTTAATATGAGCTTGTCGAAGTCCAGATAAGAGAGAGTTACTACAGTAGTCCAGTTTTGACGTAATAAATGCATGTATTAAAATCTAGCAGTGAGTTTACGATATATATCTCCTTATTTTAGCGATAATCCAATCTGAATGCGGATTCTTTACTAAGTATGTAATACTCGACCTTGTCACGGTTTTCGACGCCATCTTGACGAGTAGGCAAACACGTGAGAAATTACAGTGTTTGTAAGAGAATCCAATGTCGAATTTCCGTAAAACGGCTGTTCTTGAAAAAATATGAACTGTAAACTAAAGCTACACAGCAAAGGATTTTACCAACAAATTTTGGGGGCCGTTACTGTGCTTAAATTTCTCGTGAAGCTTGCTTTAGATTTTCCAAATGTTTGTCTGCAATTTTTCCCGGGAAATTTTTGCAGACAAATGTATAGAAATTTTTTAAAAAAACGTTCTAGGTCTTCGAGCGCAGGTAACGCCCTCAATTTTTTTTTTCAGTAGAATCCTTAAGAGTGAAGCTTTAGTTTACAGTTCATATATTTTTTAAAACAGCCGTTTTACGGAAATTATTCGACATTAGATTCTCACACAAACACTGTAATTTCTCACGGGTTTGCCTACTCGTCAAGATGGCGTCGAAAACCGTGACAAGGTCTATTAATAGAGTGTTTTCACTCACGTGGCCAGCATCTATGCAAATTTATTGGAACAAAAGAAAGCGTTTGCATAAGAAAAGAGTTCAACTCCCACAGGATTGGTTTGGGACACCAACATGGCCGCCGTTTCATTGTTTTGGGACACCAATATGGCCGCCGTGACGTCATGTGAAAACACTCTGTTCAGTGCCTTCTTTTTTTCTTTTTTAAGTAACAACATAATATTTAGGAGTGTGTGACCGATATATATATATATATATATAAAAAACAATTTCACTGAGGTCTTAAGGTTAATTATTCCATAAACGTCTTCTTGCCAGTTGTTAAAGCCAATTTGCATTTTGAAACTGTCCTGCCAGCTAGCTGTTCTTCTTACGATTTCGCTCCGTGAAGTTTGTGCCAAGGGATGTTTGCCAACTTTACACCACGAGTTCACCAACTCAAGCGAACAAGAGAGCAACTAGAACGGTCATTGAATCTCTTAATCGAAACGCGAAACGAGCTTCGCAGCTTTCTTGACGACGAAAGCACAACCTCCAAAGAATGGCGAGATTTTCAAATGGTTTCCGAGCGAGTGGATCAGCTAAACGCTTCCGCTGTTCAACTAACAGAAAGAGCAAACAGCAAACTACAAATCGCCTTTGTTGGCTCCGTGAGCGCCGGCAAGTCAACTCTAATAAACACATTACTGGGAGAAAATATCATGCCCGTCACAAGGGGTGAAACATCCTTTTGTAACGTGGCGATCTCGGGGACTATGGATGACCAGTGGAAAGCGACTGACAGACGCTCCGGCAAAACGCTAGATATCACCGAATTTAAACATCTTCTTCACGTACTTAAAGCGAAAGATAAGAGGGAAAGACTTGGCATTACTCCTTCCAGCATCATAGATGTTAAATGGCCTTCAAGCCGAGCCAAAGCCCTGGTGGAAAGCGTTGTGTTATATGACACTCCAGGTATAGGCGAACGTAAGGATACAGATGATGCTGTTATCGATCTTTGCAAGACTGTAGATGTGATTATCGCTGTAATGGATATTCATAGCCCTACTTTGCGAACGGTAAGAGAAAATGAAAATTATAATATACTTCTAGACTGAATCGTGTGCCCGTGACTTCCATGTAAGAAGCCAGAGGAAACGACCGCTTACCTTGTCACGGTTGTCGACGCCATCTTGACGAGTAGGCGAACGAGTTAGAAATTACAGTGTTTGAATGATAATCTAATGTCGAATAATTTCCGTAGAACGGCTGTTCTGAAAAAAATATGAATTGTAAACTAAAGCTTCACTCCTACGGATTCTACAGAAAAAATCGAAGGATTTACATGCGCTAGAAGGCCTAGAAAGTCCCGGGAGAAATTACAGACAAATATATGGAAAATCTAAAGCAAGCCTCTGGAGATATTTAAGCACCGGTACTCGCCCCCAATTTTTTTCTAGTACCATCCTTTGCTTTGTAGCTTTAGTCTACAATCCATGTTGTTGTTGTTGTTGTTTTTTTTTCAGAACAGCCGTTCTACGGAAATTATTCGACATTAGATTCTCATACAAACACTGTAATTTTTTTACCCGTTTGCCTACTCGTCAAGATGACGTCGAAAACCGTGACAAGGTCTATAAGAAGGACTCTTTACTGACATGTATTTCATATATACAGAAGTATCACACACGAAGAAGCAATAAATTATTTATCTTACCATAAGGGTAAGATCAAACTGATTCCTGAGCTTGTTCTTACCAGTTCAAAGTTCATACTGGTCAGTAGATTGTTATTTGCAATCGCCTGGATCATATGGGCCGCCATCTTGATCAGTTATACAAGGATGGAAGAAGGGAGCCTCTTGACTGATTGAGAAGAAACTACCGTAAAATTCCGACAATAAGACCCTCCAAATATAAGCCCCTCAAAATCGTAACGCAAAAAACCCTCCGTTAAATCGCCCCTCCGAATATAAGCCCCCCGATTTAATGGAATTTGCTCTCGAATACAAAGTAAAACAAAGCAAAAATGGTAAATTTCCTTCCCACTACAAGCTAGCCCAATCGATTTTGAAACGCAAATTTCCCTCCGTACATAAGCCCCTCCGAATATAAGCCCCTCCAAAAATAAGCCCCTGAAAAAGGGCCTTTGAAAAATATAAGCCCCGGGGCTTGTTTTCGGAATTTTACGGTATCTATCGCCTATGGAAGTGAATATGGGAAGTTTGTATATCTGAGCTGCTGGGAAAGTTTTAACAAGTGAGAGATGACTAGTGTTAGGCAATTTTATTAAGAGCTCAGGAAATTTTCAAACAATGTTCCTTTGGGAAGCATTCATTTGCTATTTCGAATTGCTGGTTTTGGACTATGTGACTCTTGTTGCTCAATTTTCCCTCAAGTTTAAATTTTATTAACCTCAGAGCCGTTTTCAAACTGAACATCCCAGACATAACAAGAAATGAGAAACTTTGAAAAAAGGATAAAATTAAGCCACCATATTTTTCATCCTTCGTTACAATAAGCAGCTGCCTTTGATACAGGTCATTGACTTCGTGACGTCTGTAAACTGCTCCTTCACTCTTGGAGCCTTTACTAAGTGGGACATGTTCAGAGGAGATAACTTTTCTGAGGAGTATGGAGATGTAACAACAGAGGACATCAAGGAGCGTTGTATTACAGATTTCATGGAGGCTGTGGCGGACAGAGGAAAAGTCTATTTTGTTGACTCTCATTCACAGAGGAAAGCAAGAGCGCATTCCTCTATTAAGGTAAGTGTTACCCTCAGGGAAGAATATTACAACGTCTTAAAGCAATATAAAACCTTTTAAAACATAAGAGAAACGAATACCATAGCCGACAAGGTCTGTGAACTTGAAAATACCGTCGGACACTCGGACAGTAAGAGCTTTTGGAACTCTTTGGAGTCAATAGACGACACGATGAAGGAAATCTACACCCCTCCAATTTCTGAAGGGAGATGGATGTCCCACTCTCAATCTCTACACTTGAATGAACCCCTTAATGAACATTAAGAGGCAATTATTCATGAGTTGCAGAATGTAGTGGATATTACTACACGATCTCACTCCTTGGATTACCTCATTACTGAAAATGAAATTCGCAAAAACAACAATTCTTATATTTCAGACAAACTCAAAAACGAAATGACCAGATCTAGCCTAAACTAATAGGTGCCTGTTTATCTAAAACTATTTAACACGGTCTTCGACTTACTAGGAACTATACCCCAAACGTGGTGTGATGGCCCTATATTACACCAAGTCTTCAATTTAGCAGTAAAAACGATCCATCAAACTACCGGGGAATTTGTATTTCCAGTTGTAGTGGAAAACTATTTTGCTCAATTCTCAATCAGAGACTTCTTAAACACGTTGACTAGCATAATATACTTCACAAGTCTTAAATTCAAATTTTTAACAAATAGATTCCATGTTGCCGTGCATCTGTTCAGTAATAAAATCACAGATGAAGTCAAAATGTTGTAAAACAAAGAAGTGGCACACGAGCCACAGGCGAGTGTGCCAACTATTGTTTTTTCTTTCTTCTTTTTCTTTCTTGTTTTTTCTTGCACAAGGGAGAATAATGGCGAAAACATTTTGCAAAACAGCGAGTCTCTCGTAGAGAGGACACACGATGGCCACTGTTGCGAAGATTCCGTTTCTCCATTTTTCTTCTTTGTAAATAGCTCCTGCTAAACTTTTTCGAGGTTTTCACTCGCTTGAATCCAAAAAAATCTCACAAACATTTTCAAAACCGCGCGTTATGTTGAATAAAACAAAGAAAACAAATTTCCCGTGACGTCATCCATGTATCTATACTCTAACAGATCATGGGCAACGACCAATCACATCGCGCGTAGCAATTGCATCATTGTAAAACAAATAATAGAACAGCACTTTGAACATTAATAAATAAATATGTCCATTGCCACTAGGAGAAAATATATCCGTGGTTTGTAGACTTTAGGAAAGCCTTTGATTCGGTTTAGCATGATGGGCTTCTCTAGGGTTATCTTAAATCAATGTCTTGCGGAACACATCGGACAGACTAAAGGAGCCTTAAGAGACAGATTTGTAGAACACCGCAGAGCGATACAAAACAAAATTGACGACGCCGTACCACAGCATTTTTATCAACCCGGACACCAACTTAAAGACATCGAACTTATCAACGCCAAAAGAGAATCCATACGTAGAGCCCGCGAACGTTCTTCCATTGAAAAGGCACAAACTGCAGCCACAGGGAATAAACAGAGAGGACGACCGTTAAACCATTTGTGTACTCATTGATTTCATTATTATTATATTCTTTATTTCATTTTAGTTTATTTTATTATTATTCTTATTACGATTATGATTATATTTGTTTATATATTTTTTATTATTTCCAATATTTTTATTATTTATTATTTATTTTTATTAATTTTAAATTTTTACCTCTTATTTTATTTTATTATTTTATTTATTTTGTTATTTGTTTTTTTAAGTTTTCCAGTTACCAAACTCATTTGTCTTAATCGTTTCTAATTATTGACCCATTTAGTTTTTTAAATTACCTTTGTATCAAATTTCCAATTGCTACTCTTAAATAATGACCTCAATTAGTACTTTCGTGCTAACTACATCAGTGTTTTTTTTTTTTAAAAAATGGGTGAAAGCACAAGCAAGGATGGAGCGAGTCCTTCCAACCGACAAAGATTAACTCCACTTCATCTTTACCCGTTCTTAGCTAAAGTCACTTTGAACAATTTTCAAAACTTTTGCGGGATTTCGCCAAACTATGATATTTTGGCACGTTGAAATTTTTAATCGGTGCTAAATCCTGGTCACACTGCCCCTTAATCTTAAACTCCCTGTTTTGTAAATGCCATCCTACATTCAAAGTTATACTTAATTCAATTGTTTGGGTTTTGTTTCATCACATATTCACCTTACACAAATCACTTTTTTTTGACACCCACACGTAGAAAAATCAAAAAAATTTAAACCAAGTGTAATTGAATAACATCATCATCACCATCACCCTCATTTACTAGCCCTTTCTCAGACTGATCACAGAATATATGCCTTAAAATGCTTTTCTGATTACTGAATAAACTGACCAACAAACTGCCCATGAAGGTCTTAGCCATTAGTGCAGATCTTTATCTCCGGCATAAATGCCCTGGTCACTGACTTGCAAACTTTATTTGCAGATTGAAACTACGCCCACTCACAGTACGCAGTTCACAAGTTCCAAATCAGCGGAAGAAACTGAAGGTTCAAAAGGATTTGAAGAATTTGAACGAAACTTGATCGAAGCCTCAAAAGGAGCCCTAAAGTTTGACACGTTGAAGTACGACCTGCAAAAATTTGTAGAGGAAGCAAAGACCCAATCAGCTAACTTGGGTAGAATAATGGATCAACGCAAACAGCAACGAGTACAGCGAGTCTCACGAAGGATGAGGAACATCTCTGATGCAGAAACAACCATAAACACCCATCTCTCGCAAATTTCAGGCGCCCTTATTGACGTCATGGGGCGTCTTCAGCAAGACCGCGAATTGAGGGCATTCAAAGATCAAATAGAACGCGATCTGCGGAACCGAGTTTCAACGAAGAATGCTTTAGAAAGGTGTCGAGATGGCCTTAACCAGCGACTACAGGAGATGGTGGAACAAGACAGAGAGCTGAAGACGCACTTAGATGAAATATGGAATTGTTTGACGCAAGTCGCAGATGGGCCAGGCAGACTGTCTCTCCAACTGAATCAGCCCATGTGGAGAAGCGAAGATTTCCAACTGAACGAGAATTCTTTCCAGGATAATAGTTTACGTTCATGCTTGGTTAACCCAAGTTTGCCAGCCAGAATGATATGTTATGGGCTGCTCGGAGCAATGACTGTTGGGGGGAACGCGGGTAAGTGTTGAAAGTGTTCTCCTATCGCTGAAGAATTACTTAAATACAGCTCTTGTTTTCTTATTTCGTCACAACTAAACAATTTGCATTACGGATAAAACTGTGACCCATTACAAATAAAAAATGAAAGCCATATTGCAAAATTAATCCACCAAAAGCTAACGAGATGATCAATGTCTCCTAGACACTACGTTCTAGTTTTAGACAGACAGCGTATTTCGATAAAAATGGTTGTTTGTTAAAATTATGACATCCAGGGACGTTTGTAATTATTTTATTGCTGTTGATGTTTCAAGCATCTTCAACCTGAATTAATAAACACATAACTATAACACAAGACCTTACGGTTTTTTGTCATATCCAGCTCTGTTTTCTGCGGTTGGATTTCCAGTGTTAAACAGTGTATTACCTTGTACCGATGTCTCGGAGTGGTTGAAGTATGTTTGGCCCACAAGCGATCAAGAGATTAAAGCAGTCCAGGACTTCTTTGTAAACAAGCTCAGGAATATACACCAGGTATGTTAAAAAATTGCTTATCCCATTGGCTATGTACACCATGGGTATTATTTCCCGAAAAAAATCCCTGGGACGCTTCGGCCTTCACATTTTTCCGCCATACACAGACCAGATAGTGGTCGTGATGAGTGCATGAGATAAATTATTAACTATGCGATACTTTCTCGTGGTACACCATGAATTTTCCACTTCTAACTTGATTTTTCGTGTCATGAAAAACTCAAGAAAAAACTCTCAATTATCTTCACTGCAAGTCTTAATATCATTCAGTATATTACCGCTTTTTGCAAAACAGGGGCTCCCCCGTAGCTGAAATAGGTTTTGCCCCAAAACAGCCTGAAGTGTTTATATGGGGAACTTTCAATACGGTGGATCGATATCTTGGAGATAGAAATTCAAGATCTCATCTGGCCTGGTTCACTCCCCACTTGAATTCATTAATGCAAAGAAAATTGGAGTGAAGCAAGATCCGCGGATAAACCGAGCCCTGCGGAGAAAGCCTGACAGAATGCACTTGAATTAAGTGAACCTGACGACCAGGCAATGAACGCTCACTGAAATCGTAAGAAAAATGTTGCTTTACACACTGATCTCGGTGTGGTCCAAATGAACAACAACAAAAGCAAATGACAACCCGTGTATTACACTGAAACAAAGCTGTATTGCTGATGTGATGGGGCGCACGGCTACTTTAAAATCAGTCAATAATGCAGACGTATATGTATGTACTAGAAATTTGGTGTGATTTAAACATTATAGCATGTTTTCTTAAATTGAAGATAAATCTGTTTAATATAGAGAGTATTTTTATGAAAAAAGTGTACTCGAATGTCGTTATTATTCATTATAGGAGAAAACGCAAGAAGTGGCAATTGATGGAATAAGTGGCCTGAAAGAAACATCTAACTTGAGAATTCGCGGAGTCAAGAGATCGCTTGAGGACGACCTGAGGTTTATTCAAGATGGGGACAACTTCTTAAACAAACGAATAAGAGTAACAAATACCTTGCAGAATACTTTCGAGGGATTTGAAGATAAAGTTCAGGATATCTGACAATCTTGAAAGACAGCCTCCATTTCAGGGGGGGCGGCTTCTACCTGAAAATGCGATGATACTCGTCGTCTCCCTCATGGATTTAACAATTAGTTCATGCGTCAGCGTGCGTATGTCGAGATATTGAGCACGCGGGAAGTTTGGAGAGCACGAAAGAGGCGTAAGAGTTGCACGAGGCGCAGCCGAGTGCAACTCTAGCCTCTTGAGTGCTCTCCAAACTTCCCAAGTGCTCAATATCTCGACATACGCACAGCTGCAGCATGAACTAATTGTTTTATAACATTATCAAAGCGGTCAATGCAACAGTTAACTTAAAATTTTATTATTGTTGGGCGCGCTCAAAGCAGTACGCGTCAATGTTTACGTGACTATATATTTTTTTTTCCTCACAGTTAATCTTGTGTTTTTATCCTGAAACTGAGAGAAAGTGTACTCTAAAATGATTGTAAAATCCATATTTAGGTGCCGGAAAACTATTAATTTACCGAAAAATTGCCATTGAGAGAAAACAACTTTGAAAAGAATGATCTCACGCCATAGCCCGCACAGCTCGCGGAGATCACAACAACAACAACACTCACCTCTTTTCACTACTATCGGTTAACAAATTCAAACGTTTCCTCTCAAATTTCCTTATAAAACACATGGTAAACGCGTCATTGTCCATTGCTGAGTTATGGATGCACTCAGGAGATTCAGGATTGCTAAGCTCACAACAACTCGAGGAATTACGAATAGTTTATTGACGTCATCAGCGTGCTCAATAGGAATATGAAGCACGCTCGCGCTATTGAATTTGATTAGGCGAATTTTCTAGCTATGTTATAAAAAAATTTTGCTCATGGTTACTTACATGGTTGCCCTTTTTCTTAACTTTCCTAGAAAGACGAAAGACTTAGTGAACTATGAGTGAACACTTTCAAAAAGGGGGCCTCTTTCTAAACATCTTCCTAAGGGAGGGTTGTTTGCAGGACTGAAAGACTACTTCGCAGTTTCTTTCCAAGTAAAATCTTAACTTAAAATCATCATTAACCTGCATAGATCATATAGTTGCAAGTAGGGTGAAAGAATAAAGGATGGTAAATTTTAAGCTTGTTGAAGCAAATGAACAAATGTGGAAATGAAATAGTCAACATGTCAAGAGCGTGGGACAAAGAATAAATCTGAGTCCTCAACAGGATTCGAACCTATGACCTCCTAAACACTGGGCTGGCGCTCTATCCACTTATCCACTTCAGCTACGGAGAACTCATCGAGCGCGAGGCCATATACTAGGTTCATATTTGACACGCGTCCTAATTTAAATGCGTAATTATGGAGATGCCACTTTTGCTTTTGCTGGTTCTAAAATCTGGGAAAAAAAATCCTCTAAATTAAAAACCCAATGAGTAATTTGATTTCTCTGCCCTCACTATCAATTATCATTTCCATTGTTTTATATATATATCTAGCCGAATTTTTGAAAACGTACCTGAAAATACACCAGAATATTCGCACAGAAAGCTGGCGATAGCCAGCTTTCTGGTCACTGCGGTGAGAAAAAACATAGGGGGCTTGCTGTCCTGCTTGGTCTCATTGTCAAGTTCAGTCCCTGAGCTAACTCGCCATGGGTTGGAAAGGGGCCTCCATGTCAATCCCTAGCGGGGGGCGGCGGGGTGCTGCAAAAGCGTTGTACCTTCCGTTAGTCCTGGTCTGGGAGAGTCAGTGCACTGGTCATGTCTGCCTTTAGTTTGTCATGTCAAATTCTTGTAACGTTTGAGGCCCATTGGCCAATGAAAGCATTCCCCTCAAGCACGTGCTAGGCTGGAGGGGGGATTTAACCTTGAATTCTCTGCTTAGAACTTGCTGAAGTCTCAAGCGTCCTCCGTCATTCAGGGCCTTTAAGCAGCTAGAGTGTATGGACAAGTCCAGAGTGTCTCTTTGATGGACTTGAATGTTTCTTTTGCTAATCAGGAAACAAGAAGAGAGTCACCTTAAGAGAACCATGGGTAAGAGCTGAGTTTCTTGGCGATATTTACTTTAGTTGAGTCAGTTTAAGGTGTGTGGGCTCCTGGTGTCCGATGTTACGGTTTTCATAAATCCGGCTAGATATATATATATATATAGACCAGTAGGTGAACTACTCAAATCCTGAGTACATGGGTGTTTAATACAAGCCTGTTTCGTAGGCCACCAAAAAGGTGACCCACTCTTCAGTTAAACTCCATTATAACACTGAAGCGTCAGGGTCTACATCAAGAAAAGTGATCGCGTGATAAAAACGGTTACATATAACGTTTGAAATTTAAATTTTAGAATGAAAAGCGCGCGCTCGCTCTCAATCGCCTACGTCTTATACGAAACCTAAGTCGCACGAAAGCTCGCGCTACAATCTCTGGCTTTCACATGTTCGATTGTACCTTAGAATGAACTTGCGTCGATGTCTGCATGTAGAGACAAGTTCGTTGCCCTTGTTCAGTGTTGCCATCTCTGGCTTTCACATATATATATATATATAATTGTATAACTTTATACACTTTTAATTTTCCTGTCTCTGTTATACGCCACTAAAATGTCTATGCCAGTAGGTTGCACGTAGCAGTGACCAACTAGAAAGAATAAGCTCCTTGGGTCACTGCGCACATTTCACCTTTGATGATTTATGTATATTAATGCTGTTTTATTTTACTTCTGTAATGTATTGTAATTTTTTTTTTTTTAGTAAACTCTAGAATAGTGCAATAAAAAAAAAATCTGAAATCTGAATCTCTTCCTTGCTCCAGAGGATTTTTTTTAAGGGCACTCTCCTCAAAAACCAACACCTCCAACTCAAATTCCTATTCGATCTTGAACGCAGGGAAACATTTAAATGAGTTTTTAAGAACTCCTATCAAGTGCTTCGTGGGTAAATAAATAATAGAATACAATTACGGACATAGTACAAGACAACAATCTCATTCAAGCCGGTAAAGTGCACATCCTTTAAGGTGTTTGTGCCAGCAATGAATTAATTATTTTTCTTTTTTTATAGAGTAGGTCTTTCTAAAAGGAGACCACTCAGACTGTTTTATCGAAAACAGCCGGGCGAGTTGGTCAATCGCAAGAGGTTTTATAATTAGTATGGATAGAATCCGGGATAGTAGCGAGTAGTGGTGTCCAATGAAGTTGGATACTTGCTATGAAATAAGAAAACTCTCATATATAACATTATGGAAGAGGCTTAACAATTTACGCCGACGGTTCTTTTTAATTGCCAGCAACAAAGTTTTTCCCGAAGAGAGTTACTGAGCCCATAGTACTGGATTGCCCTCGAGTCCACCCACCTTGCATATTTGCTCATTGAATGCTTTCTAACAAAGTCTCCAGGGCCCTATCTCTCATGAAATCAATGCCAAGGAAGAAAGAAGAGAAAAATTTATTATCTTAAGCCCTGTTTACATAGAGGTAGGGTATCCCAGATAGGTAAGATAGTATTTGGCGGGACACCCCACCTATCATGTAAACGCAATCAAATTAAAATAACCTTAAGAGATTATATGAACAGGCTGGTTACCCCACCTAAGCGTGTTACCTCACCTTCCTGGGGTCCCCCAACGCCCTGTAAACAGGCCCTTAAAATTCACGACTACATCCCATCCTCTATCGAGGTTATAAAATATCTAGAATACACTAGTTATAGCTATCGCTAAGTGCCAGCGAGCAAAGATTTCACCTGTACGCGCGCGCTCTTCAATTTGTTTAGAAATGTCATGAATTACAGTAATTTATTAAAAATAGATTGAACTTGATTCGATTGCATAAGCGAACATCACCTTTAAAATAGTGCAAACTTGAAGCAAGGGGCACACATCCACCAAGCCACGGCCTGGTCAGTAGCTCACGCACGCGCACAGCCATATCACGCGGACAGTGGCAACCATGGACAGCAGGGGGGAAGGCGGATCATGGTTTGGTGTATGTGTGTCCCTTGCTTTAAAAACATCGTATTAACGTCCGCGGATATTCAACGTACAGACTTATGGTGCGCTAATGAAGCCTTCCGAATTACTAATTTTACTTCAAAGACAAAACATTTCACGGCGTTATTATTTTTCTTAGCGGTATGCAATAAAAAATTCCAGCGGGCAAATGCGCAGCCATACGCGCATGATGCAAGTACGAATAAGTCGGGATGAACACGGGACTCACAAGCACGCACACAGCTAGTAGATTCTCTGTTCTGTATCACGTGTTCGCTCAAAAGCAATGCTTCCTCTCTTCTTCATTAAGTATTTTATGTTGCCTTACATAACATTACTATACATTACTACTACATCGATTCGAGATTTTTTCTGCCCCTGGAACTATCGCGCACGGCTCTATTAGGCTGCCGTCTACGGGAGGCTGCTCGTTGGCACGGACGTCAACGTTATTTACGCACGAGTTATTGACAAATCGATTGAGAGAGAGCAGTGAACAAGTGAAACGTTTTTTTTTACATGAAAACAACGTTTAAGCGGATACAGTGCAAAGCAGTTTTCACGTGCTATTGTTGTTTTGCAAGCTCTTTACAATTTTTTGGTGGTGGTAATACCAAGACGCGAGGCGTCGAGGCATATATCTAGCGCTGTTCACCGACCCTGAGAGGGGTAGTTGTTTTAGTATTTGCCAAGTCAGTTGGTTAAAAATGAAGAAAATAACCTTTTGAAAAATTAAAAACGTCAGTTAGTATGAACTTTGTTTACAATTTACAAACATTTCGGGGATTTCGTCAAGTGATTTTTACGACTTTTGCTGCAAATTCAGCATGAAAATAACTTTCTACCCACCGGTAACACCGACAAGCCAAAGTTCGTCGCTTTCTCGGCATTTGTTTGTACGACTGCTTCATTCGTCGCTAAAATTTCGTCTGCCAAAAATGTCTCGGAACGAGACGCCATCTTTGCTCCGGTCGCAAATAGCCAAGAATATTCCGAGTTACGGGAGCCAGTCAAAACGCGCGAAAATATCTTTTCACTGATTTGGTAAATACTGAATAGATTTTGCCAGGGATAAAAGCGCAATTCTCTTTAATATTTATAGTTTACTCAGAAAAAATATATATATATGTAATATCGCGTCACGTTCAAGAAACGATGAGGATAACCAACAACAACAATTGGTCTAATCAGCCACAAAAATATCAACTTTGCACGTGCAGCACACTTCTTTCTACATTTGCCGTTGTTTTGCACGACAACAACGATAAAAATTCCACAAACCTTCCTGTTACACGTTTTACGGAGGAAATGTATGTGTTCCTGTTCACTTCTTTTCACTGCAGCTCATTTTCACCCTGGTGGCCGCTAGCATTTCTCATTTTCTCACCGCCGCTATCAAATTTTCATGTTTTTCGTCCGAAGAAATTGGCCTCCGTTGTTTTAATTCTCGCTCTCTTACCGCCAAAACGCGCGGGGTGCTTGAAATGCAAACTTTCGCCCCCAGTAACATGAAGGGGTAAACGCACGTACGTACGGACGATTTTGTAAGAACCGAAATTTCTTGGATACATAGAAAACCAGATTTTCTTACCTATGGTGCTCTGCTATGCGCGCGCGCGAGCCCCGCTATTAAGGATCGTTGTTCGCTGGTTTTCCACTGCGCATCGCTTACTGTCCATAATATATAACAAGATGGCCGCCGTGTAAAAGAGCATCAAAGGAACAATTTTAAAATGAAGTTGACCGGAGAGAAACGATATTGAAATATTCGCTGTTTTTGAATTTTTTTTGCTTCCTTTCAATGAGAAAAAAATGGCATAAATCTATTTTCAGTTTTTCGGCAATTTTACTAAATTTTACGGATTGAGCTACAACGGGTCGAATAGCGTGTGTTTAAATTAAGTCGACTTTGAGGAGTAAACTAAAAACAAAGGCATTAAAATCTCCTTTTTGTCTAGTTTTGGGCTGCGCGCGGTTTTTGTCCCAGGGTCCTAAAGAGCCGTATTTGTCAGCATTGTGAGGGTCAAAACAAGCACGGTGACCCCCACTTTTAATTACTTTTTTATCATATTCTTGACTTCTTTCATCAGTGTGACAAGTTTCATTTACAATCTATGTTAGGTTCTTTTACAAAGGAATCATCTTAACACTTTTCTGAGAGTAACACTATCGTTTACGGGCTCAACAAATTTAGTAGTGGAAACACTGCGAGGCAACTGGCGAGGCGAGGCCGCAAGCACGTATAAAAGGCGGGAAACTGATGCACTGCTGTGGCTTTTGATTGAACGTATCATTTTTCTCACACGTGGGAAGAACATCGTTCGCTCTTCTGATGGTTAGTAGAACTCATGAATTTGAGTATGGAAATTAACGATTTTAATATGTCTCAGTATGCATATAACAATCAAGTCTGAGTAACGTCGTCAAACTTTTGAGGAATACCGGGGCACTTTATTCACTATTCGAACTACATTATTACATATCCTGAATACTAGACATCCATCCAAAACAACTGGCTTATTAAATTTCTCGCAATATATAAAATGTTCTTTTCTGCTATTTTTCGTTACATGTGTTTCTAGTAAAGCAAGTCTTGAAAAAACTCAGAACTCAGAAAAAGACACAGAAAAGAGAAAAATAAAGCTTTTTTTCAAACATCAACGTGTAAATAAATTCTGCGTTTATGTAATCCCGAACTTAACCGAGAAAGCGAGTGTTCTTTTCAGATACGTGGTTTAAAAATCGCAAAGAGATGCGGATGAAATTATATACAGTTACCGAACATTTCTGTTGTGTCAGTTAAACGTTTCAAACATACGTTCGTTTTTCAGTGTTATATTATTTCCATTATTAATATACCTCCTAGTGTAAGTCATAAGCTTTCTCTTGGTATGGGCATAAAGTGGCTCGACCCGGTTTTTACTTTTTACTTTGAAAAATATAATGAAGTTAACAAAAGTCCAGTAAACAATATTAAACCAGGAAATCAACTCATATCCTTTCTGGGGGCTCAGATTGAGGTCCTCATTTAAATATATTCAAAATCAATAAGATCCGAAACAATGTACAGTGTATATCTATATGAATTGTGAATTACAATAACCGTAGAAAACATGCAACATGAACGTCTGGATTTCTTAAAAATTGATTAACCACCTTCTCCAAATAGAATTCGCTCTTTATCTTTTAATCCTTCCCTTACAAAAAAGGGAGAACTTTATTTTCAAGTTAATATATTTGATTGTATTTTTATTATTTATAAAAATTGGAAAGTTATGATCGGGCCGACCCACCTCAAAAACCCTCTCTTTCAAAGTTACGACGTGAATCTTACAAAACGAAGCTCTTGGTCTTCTTCTTTTCCAAATTTAACCATTTAACACCAGATATATTTCATCCTTTAAATTAGTGCAGCTGTCTGGGGGTATCTTTTTTTATTTCACTTGCGCTATTTTTCCCGATTTCACGCTAGTTCCTTCGATTTCTCTTACGCTGCCTTCGTAATCTTCGTCCGCCTCTTTTTGGCGGATTCATAGTTTCTGTTATCCAATCAAAATATGGCTCAACACGAGTGAAGAAATTGTAACGCCCTTTTGTTCCGCAACCCTCGCCCCAACTCACTAGCCCCGTCACCGTCCAACGATACCTCCTGGATCTTGAATCATAGCGATCTCGTAAAAAGGGTCCCCCACCATCCCCCCGACAGGGCTGCTGGCCACTCTTTTCGCCTTCTCCAGCACAAAACATCAAACTGCTGTTAAATGCTTGCTTGGTGCTGTTTATGCAGACTTTTTTAGACAAGATGGACAACGCGATATGGAGTGTGACTCTGGACCGGCTCTTCTTGCGGCTTTGTCTGCCTGAAGACTTTCTTTCCTGTTTCATGTGAGTTTGTTTTTCTCCCCATCCCGCTACATAACCATGTTTTCCAGGTATTGCCAAATCCTTGTCTTTTTCTGGTAAGCATACCGGGCTGACATACTTCCCAAGTTTAACTTTGCGATTTAGCTTCACGAGAGCGATGTCATTTTCATGATTTCGGCGCTTGTAGTTGTCGTGAATGAAAATTTTAGTAGCTTCAATAAGTTGTTCCGGACTGGTCTTTCTATCTCCCAGATGATGTCCTCCCGCTTTTATCGTGTATCTGTGAAGACAAACAATTGCAACTATGAAGTTTTCACCCTACGCATGCGTAGAAATCTCGAGAGGAAAACTTGGTCTTCAAAGGATGACCTCTTGAACGCTAGCCCTTCTCTCATTGATAAATAACTGTGGTGCACACAAAAACGTGTGGTTGGTTCTTAACTAAAGTCATGGTTAAAGTTTTAATGAATTTGTCAGTTTTTAAGGTTTGAATCATTTTACTAGGGACAAAGGCAAGTTTCAGGCATATTAAAAGCTGGATTCCAGAGAGATGCTTGCGGATGGAGCGGGAATTGAATCTCTTTTACCTTCTCAAGGAGTTCAAGGCCTTGGGTCCAAGGTGGGTTCGGAGCATATGATTGATTGGCAATTTCTCTCGCTAAATTGTATAGAGAAAAATGAATCGAATTTTCCCCAAATGTAAATCTTGACGTCTTCTTGTGCTTTAACGTTTAATTATGGTCATGTGACATGTCACGAGACTAAAAATTGAAAATGAAGGAAATTCGCGAATTTCCTTTGTTGGGATAAATAAATTGGTGTTTCTGATAGAGAATAAACATACCTAACTTTCTACGTTTGGAATAAATGTAGGCGAAGTTTAAAATTAAAATTTTAAATAATTCAAGATTAAATTAAGGCATTTAAAATGACGTTTACTCTCATATTTTTTTTCATTGAATTGCAATGGACGGTCATTCCAAACGTGAAGTGTTAGAAATATTTAATATGAATAAGAAAAATGTTTTTGCACCCCGCCACCAATTTGACAATTATTTAGAATTTTTAGCAAAATGCTCACGTGACATATAACGTGACTTATCGACACAGTATTTTTACTTTAAAATGTTAAGGACGACGAGTTCTTTATATGTGACAAATCTGGATTACGCTCCATATCTTTGCCGAAGTTATAGCCAATTAATCATTTTCCAAAGATAAACCTAAACTACTTGAGTTTTAAGATAATTGTTTGTATGAGGGCCTAACAGTTAGGGTGCTCGACTATGGAATTTAACTCTCTGCATCCAGCTTTGTAAATTACCTTGAAGCTGGACGAACGACAGGCCTCCACGTCTTGGAATAAAAACAATGAGCGGCAGTAATGACCCATTCTTTGTCAATAAGGGCTCCCTTGCAGACATGCGCACCTAAAGAGAACGAGGAAAATACCAGTTGAATTCCAGCTGTTAGGGTGAATACAGCCTGCGTTTGCCTGCGTTGCAGAGTTTAGTTTCGTCTGTTGAGCAGTCTTAGTAGGGTCAATGGAGTCGCTAAACCGAACGTAAGGGACTCTTTATCTTTTCTTTAAAAACACAAACGAAAGAAAGTAAAATTGTCAAAATAGAGTTAAAATAAATAACTTTGTAGCCACATTCGTATAATCTACAGGGGATTGGATCATGTACGGCTAAAACCTGACTAAGCATTAATGACAGCCGGCCGGCAGTGCCTACCGTCCCAGTATATATTGATCTGCCAAGGCCATACACCACTTGTCGCCTTGTTGCCTCGTACAATTCGTTGTCTTGGCTCAGTAACGCTGACTCCGCATTCTGCGGGATCTGAAAAATCAAACAAACAAACAAAGGGAAATAAATTTTCTGTAGATCGTGTCCTCTTTATCTTTGGTAGAGCTCCATTGGCATTTACTGTATTTACTGACTGAAGCTACTTTAAAAACTGAGAGTCGATGACTGACGTTGATGAACCAAGAAACGAGCAAGAAGGAGAAAGGGCCACCGTGGCAGACATGAAAAATCAGTGTTACATTTGCATTTGGCCGCTTACCCATATGAGAAAAAAGGTCCCCCAAGTGGCACATTGATGTTCGACTGCATTGCAAAATATATATTTTTGAACGTTTACTGTAACGCAATGGAAGGGGGGGGGAAGGGTGGTTGTCACTGTAGCAAAAAAAAACGCATAAGATCTCACCTCTTTGCTTCAAGGTAACTGTTCGTCGCACAGCATCAAACACGTCACCGTAATACCTCAGAAATATCAAGTGACTCTTTTCTGGCTGAGATGCCACAGTTGACAAGACTCTTTTGTTGGGGTTTTTACCGATCGCTATGGAGAAAACTTGAAACGACTGTTCGCTTTCTAGTAGCCTTGCTGCTCTGGGGTGACTTGTTCCCATGTTTAAGGTGCCAGTGCTTATTATAAACATAGCTTTATTGCTGTTCTTTCGCATAGTCGGCACTAAACGGCGCCGCGTCATGTACATGGCTCTTCCTAGAGACGCCCCGCAGCCGCCAGGCTTCTTTAGCGACCCAATCTTTTTTATTACTCTCTCTGAAGGAGATTCAAAATTCATAGTTGTTTCGGGTTTATTGTTGTAGGAAACAACTGCCAAGCGAACATCTCCTCGGCTGTAAGCATGAAATTAAAAATAAAATGTTTGTATTTGTCAAAAATCAGAGTTTTGGAGCACATTTACCTTCACATGTATTATCTTAAGTTAATCTTATAATACATACCTTGATCTGATCAAATCTCACCTTATCCCATCTCATACCATCCCACCCCATTCCACCCCATTCCATCCCATCCCATCCCATCCCATTTCATCTCATCTCATCTCACCTATAATTATCTTATCTTATTTGATCTGCTCTGCATGACCGTGTTATGATTTTGGTACCTGGTTGTATTAGCGCGTCGCTAATACCCCGGCGCTGACTGATCAAAGAGACACTTACGTTACTGTGGCAGCTAAAACTCTGATAAGCTCCTGGGCAAACTTGAGTCCAATCTGAAAGTCATCCTTAGAGACACTATTGGATACATCCACGATGAAAATCACATCAAGGCCTCCATTGTAATCCAAATCAAGCGAACGGCGTGTTCTGAAACCATTTTTGAAGCAGGAAGCATTGTTGCATTGATGTTGAACTTTGTTATCCAAGAGACTGTGACGAATGAAAGCTGTAGCTTCGTTCACATTCATAACTCTTTTATCTAAAATATTTAGTCAGAGAAATTAGATTAGCATTATTACTTAACTTTAGCAATTTTTTTTTGGCAGCAAAGTCCAAAAAAGGATAGCCTCCATACAAGGCGTCATGTTTTTGTGTTTTTCATTTGAGACGAACGAAGGCAAGTTCGAAGCGAGCGAGAAATGCCAGCTGACATACGAACTAGGGAAGTTAATTGTTTTGCGCCTTTCCCGTCGCGTATGTCTGGCGCTCCTCACTCGCCTCGCGCTTGCCTTCACTTTTTTCACGATTGAAATACGCGAAAAAAATAACGCCTGTTATGCAGGCTAGAAAAAAGGCAACGAATCAGCGGTGCTGAGACGTGCGATAATCCTTAAACCAGGAGAGTGTTATTCTGCAAAACGTTTTAAAAACGTTGTTTCCTTCTTGGCGATGAGGAGGAGCTCTTGCGGGAAGGCTGTCTCTCAACGCCAATTGGGAGCATCATGCAAAAATTTTTATCATTAAACGTAGCTGCAGGGCAGTGGTCTAAAATTACGTGGTGTAAAATCACTTATAAAACTAGTAAATGTTAATCATAAGGGTTATTAACGCTATTACCTATTAGGTTCCTCCTTTTCTACCTGCAAGTTTTGATATTCACAGTAAATTGTGCAAGTCATTGATAAAACAAGTAATAAAAAAGCTTGCAAGAAAACCGCTTTGAGCCATGAAATAGTTAACGATATCATCACCTACACTCACCCACACATACTGGACGCCGAGTCCATGAACCATGTCTTTTGCATTTACTGACCGCCGGACCATGCAGTTTGTAGCCGTGGACGCACCTGTATCTCACGGTGCTACCAACAGTGAATTCAGATCCAACAAAGTAGCCGTGACGGATAGTTTGTGGATTACCACAACTTGTAACTGCAAAAAGAATCACATGATATATTTTGTAGGTATTTGCATTGATCCGTAGAGATCTTCAGTTATCAATTCCTCTTGTTTACCAAATCAATGAAGAGCCATCAGTGTTCGCGCGTTTTGAGGAGTTCGTGTAATTAGGAAGCCTTGGCTATTCACTATTTTGGGACATGACTCAATTTGGGCGTCCAGTTTTGCGCGTTTTTCGATGGCAAATGAAGAGGTTGCGCCAACAAATCATATTGCTGAAAAGGGCTACGAAATTTCGCTCGTCGGTGTTTAACTACATACTTTATTATTTATTATTATTATAAATATCCCCTTCAGAGTCGATGCATAGCGCTGGATAAATAACTCCAGGCTTGGCGTCTATATATATGATGACGTGGGAAGAGATGACACGTGTAATGGCGGTGGCGATCTATAACAATAATGGATAATGATAATGGTCATGGTAATTTGAAAGAAGAGTGAAGGTTGTGAGAGTAATAATTGTGAGAAAAGCGTTTACAATAAAAACGTTCATTACCAGGAAACAATTGTTATCAGCATCAATGTCAGACAGTTTTTTTTTTCGTGTACTTTACCTTTTGGAAATCCGCATCTCGGCTGTTTGCCATATAATATTCCATCTTTGCAATGATGCGTTCTGTCTCCCTCTATAAGTTTGTAGCCATTGATACATTCGTAGCGCACCTTGGTATAGTTACAGCAATGCTTGACGTTCATATGAAGTAGACGGGTGTTGGCTAAATTACTTACAACTGTCTCACAGCTTCCCGGGTTAAGTTCTAATGATGAGGAGGCGAAATAAACACAAACTGACTGTTAAGGAACTATACTGAAGGAAAATGACGTCATAAAATTGACACCAAATCGTCTTTTTAGTATTATAAAAATAAACGAGGAAATCTAACTTCATTTACTAATTACTTTATTGTATTTTTACTTGTTTATCATGGTGAATGCATTTCAGTTCAGTTCATCATGGACAACCAGTCTTGTAAATTTGAATTCAAATACTAGGGGCCGTTACTATTTCCTTTCTGTTTCACTCTGGCCCTGAGAAAGCCTAATTTTGTTAGCCGAAAAATATTGGCCGAAATATCATAAACCCTTTGAATTATTGCTTGCCAATGCATTCAGTTTTGTTTTAATTTGCACTGAAGGAGGGAATGTCTGGCTCAAGCATCTCTACATCAGAGCTGATCCTGTAAAAACCAAACAGTGAGTTATATTTACGCTAGGAATGTGTCGACCTCTTAGTTTTACATTGAAAGGTTGAAGAAACAAAAAACACCTTGGCGTGACAACGCTAATGAAACCTCCAACACTTAAAATACTACGCTAGTTATTTCCCTAGTTCGATAAACGTTGAACGCCTGAAAAACTTATAGAATATAATTTTGTTCTAGTTAGTAACAATGTATTTATTCGTTTTAACGCCGCGGCGTTTATTAGATATCTAACGTTTCAGATACCGCGTTTTCGAGGGTAGGGTTTAGTTCAAAACCCCCTTTTTTAAATTTTGAATTCAGCATTTGCGATAAACCATTGATAAATATAATGAAAACAGAGCGATGTTACAAGTTCCAATGTCTCGCTTTTATGCTGACAAAGAATCGTAATTGACTGGATGGTGGAGATTACAAAGTTGTGACTTATTTTCCTAGAAAAAAAAAAAACGCGCATTCTTATAATCAATTGCGAAGTTGAATTTAGGGCGGCGTTTCTGGCAAGAGCCATAATAGGGACCATTATGGCTCTTGTTGGGGTTAATGATCGGTACTTCCAACTGCGGCGTTTAATCGAGTAAATACTGTTAAATTACACCAGCCTGTGGTTAGTCAGATAACTCTGGTGTTTACCCGCGGTTTCGTTAGTGACCCGTTATGTACTAAATAAAGTGAATTTCAAAATATTGGATCACATTTTACCCTTTTTTATATCTTGCTGATATCCGCTGACAAACACGACAGTCAACGCGATGAAAACTGCAAAATCTGCAGGCACCTGTGAAAAAATACTAACTGTCAGTTTAAACATTTTTTATGTTAGGTTATTATTTAATACTATAGTAACAAATTTTTTGAATGCCTGGAGAGAAACAATAGCCACACCGGATGCACAGAAAAGCCTGTGAGCTATATCTAAAATCTGGAAAAGTCCTCAGTTAAAATCTAGATATAAAAAAATAAACATTAAAAGAAAGTTACCAATTCAAATAGATGTACAACCTGGCTACAATACATTGAAAATGCTGAAAAAGTTTAAGTCCCTTTACCTGTACTAAATCTGGTATGCTACAAAAAAAATGTGTTAAAAAAAATGTGTTACAAAAAGTGCTGAAAAGTATTTAAAAACGATCATATTTGTAATTTTTAGCCTTTTCTAAATTTGGTTGTACTAGAAATTTGCTAAAAATTGAATGACCCCTTATAATATAATTATAACGTTCAAGTCTCTTTAAAAAAATTGATGAAAAAAATGAAAAATATATATTATTTTTGTAATTACAATTATAACAGTATTTCTATATTATCATATTTCCAGTATGCAGTTTATATCAAATCCACCACCTCCCCGCCTCTTAGAATCCTTCTTCATGTTCTACAAACGTTTTTAATAGGTTCACAGCCATTAAGTTGCGTTTAAGTATGCTCAGATGAGAATCACAAAATAGCTTCATAATTTTCACTGATTTCATAAAGTCACGGTGATAACTATAACTTTTTCCTCTCCTGTCGACTTTTTCTTTCTAACAGGTGCTGAAAGATATCATTAAAAATAATTCGGACATATTCTCATGTACCATATTCCACTATGACGAAACACATGTTTTTTAATGAGTTTAACTGAAATGTTGAAAAAGCGATGACAATGATTTTTATACAGGAATGTCATGGCATGAAGTTCGCGTGGTGTAAGCCCTTCGTAATACAAATACATTCCTGACATTAAGACAGCTTTTTTTATGCAAGAAATCAATGAAACATGCGAAACGATCAGACAAAACTCGAGTTTAACCCTTCTTAACAGTTAGTTTAAAAAACGAGGACTATTATTTAAGAGTGCGTGCAATTGACGTATTCTGAAATAAGAAATACTTAGAAATTTTGATAAAAATCTCTTTTATCGGGATTTCGAGACAATATTGTACTTCTTCTAGATTTGGAGATTTTGCGATGTAGTGAATGGCTCAAACATATGTTTTCTAAAGTTCTTATTCTGGAAAACGGTCTAACGAACTCGCTCTAAGTAGGAAAGAGAATAAAAATAACATGGTGACGCAGTAAATCATGCAGAAAAGAAAGCACCAATTTTGTTTCTAAAACAACACCAAGACAGTTGTTCTTGTTGTTTTTTTTTTTCATTTCAAAGAATGGAATTTGTAAGCTCTAAATTTTGTTATCACTTTTTTTATTTTTGTGGCTTTACTTATTGAATTCTATTATAAAGAAACTAATCCATTAAGTGAATTTTTTCATGTAAGATACCATCACGTTCAGTTTTAAGTAGTTTTTCTATAGCTTGTTTTTGAAAAGGTCATTGTTTTTGAGGTGAGACACCCTCAGTGTTTTTAAAAATGAGGGTCTTTATGGACCTTGCTTTTATTTATTTATTTATTCGATTTTTTTAATTTTAAACAGTTTAATATTAAATGTTACATGTTACAATATCTTAATGAAAACCCATTTGGAGTGGCCGCTACATTCAAGTTTAATTTTAAGACCCTTCATTAATCAAGCGTTGGCAGCGCTAAAACATACAATGTAAAGTTTTATTGTAATAACCTATACAAAACCTCTCAATTATCCTCAATAGATGTACATGTTTTTAAAACTGTCTGTCTCCCGTTAACTATTCCGTTCTCGTTGCGCACCATCGAGTGTGTTCTTCCGTAGACTGCAGATTAAACTCGACAGAGTGCTGCTTATGTCGTCTAAACAGCTTATAACGCTTTTTCGGCTTCTTTTAATATGATATCTACAGAAACCAGACAACCGGCTTAGCTGATAAATTTGGTCCTCATACTTGCACGTAATTCCATTGGTTTATCGAACATGGGAAGGGATTACGCCCGATAAGACTAACTTCACATATCTTAATCTTACATCTAAATCTAGCAAAAGGTCAGTGTATGAGGACTTTTACTAACATAAGGTAAAAAGCAAAAAGGAAAAAAGAGAGTACACGATTAATCAACCAATGGTACTGAAGTTCACGCCATAAACAAAAAGGAGATATATTTAAGAGATCAGTAGATTTCCACTTAGCAACACTTACCTAAAGAGTCAGATTATGAAATGATTAACCACCCGTGTACTTCTGGTAATGAAGTAAGAAATGACAGCTATTTTCTTCGATCAACATGTTTCAGGGGCACCCAACGACAATTTTCGGAAAAATATCTGTTCGGAAGACGATTTGAGATCTCGAATTTTCGGAACATTTGTTGTAAAATTTATTGCTTGCCTGCCTCTCCTAGGATTTTCGAACATCTATAAAATGGTAAAATTGCCCATTTTCAACGGATTTTTACCCTAAAAAGGTCACCTAGAATTTTCGGGAGCTTTTTTTCTGGCTGAAATTTTCGAACAGGTAAGTTTTGATCCCTATAATTGTCGGATCACTAGACTTTCAGCTAGGAAATCCGAACAGATGAAAAATTTATAGGGGATAAAAATATGCCCATATCCACCGTTTAAATATTAAAACACGTTTAACAATGCTATGTTTAAGTGGTTTTGAACTATATTCTCGTTGGGTGCCCCTGATGTTTGTTCTCGGTTTAAACGTTTTGATCGTAAAAGTTCCCTTACAAATTTGCTGGGATTTAATTCTTAAATCATTTTGATTTTTTTTTTCATATTTGCCGGTACATGTGATAGACTGAGAGTAATTGAAAAAATATAGTAATTATATAGACCAAAAACGTCAGTGTTTATTGGATAGAAACTACCAGGGTTAATTAATTCATCTCGATGAGTCAAAAGTTTGTTGAATAAACAGTCACATATAACACTAAATGCAAGTCTGTACAGACATCAATGGAGAAATATTCTATTGTGTAATCATTGCTAATCTACAACAAGATTCGCTTCAATTCGCTGCTGTTTTTTCTAATTAGTGACCCTTGCAAGATTTTACAGCTACTGGATATTATTTTATCACCATCCTTCGTCTCCTACTCGCCAACTGTTATTTATTTAAAACATTGTAAACTGAAGAACAATTTTCGACTCATTTTCTGCACTCTAAGATAATACTCATGATTTAACGCCTTTCAATTACTGACTAGTTTGCTTCAAGTTATAATATTATAAATTAATTTCAGTCTAGTTTAATGACCTTCTTCGCAATAGTCCTTCTTAGCAACTGATAAGGTTAAGAATGTTTATCCAATTCAATGTTTATCTTGCTACAAAGCTCTTGCTTCCTAACATAACTAACTAAAAAATTCCGTCTCCTTTATTTCCATAAGGACGGAATCCTTATACCACTTTATAAGTTGAATCTGGCAGGAAAAATAATTGACCAAGGCAAATTAGTTATCATTTCTTGCCCTAAATGTGCACGAATTGTTATTTTCAACACTTCGGATATGAAGTGTTCTTAAGTGAAAATCAGTGGACTCTAAGTGATTCACTTCAGTTTGCTTAATAACGCCAAATCAACTCTCTTTGGAGTTCACTTTTACAACATTTGACCGCTAAATACATTGATCT